GCCTATTATCATGAAAACTAGAGAGAAACCTTTTTTTTCTTCGTTATGCCTTATATGATTTAAATTATAAAAGATAAATAAACACTTTAAATCACAAAAATGATCAGCAAGGCAAGATCTATTAAAAAGTCAAATTTTGCCGATATAGTTAGTAGACTGTCACTCTTCTTAGGAGTGATTGCCCTTAAATGAGGATTTTTTTTACCCTCTTTTGTGTTTTGAGCAAAAACTAAAGAAGATAGAGAGAAACTAAACAGACTAAAAGATCAGTAATACAAGATCAACAAAATAGAGATTTTTGTCATGAAGTCTATTCTCGTCTACAATGTTGGAAAGTGTCCTTTGTTTGATATGCACATAGACCAAGGTGAGAGTCACTAGTATTTATTTGCAAAAGTTTGTTTAGACACATAAGAAAAATGTCAGAATTCTGGTCGTCCGACTAGTAGATGGAAAAAATGTTGGTGCAAACTGGGTCTGTATTTGAACATGACAGCTAAATAGATAATGTCATTTTGATGGCTACAACATATCTCTGTGACCATGGTGACATGTAAGGAACCAGCCAGAAGATTTCCTATTTCCTAGTTTCCTAGTCACTGGATCTACCCAGTAGTGAACTGTGAGCTGCTCAAATGAATTGTAAATGTAATGAGCAATAATTAGTCTGGGTAAAATGTGCCTGGGCTGATATAAATTGCTAGTATAAAAAGTCCATGGTTACCTAATTTACATGTACATGTATTTTTGGTCAGTTGAAAAAGTTCAAAGATTTATTTTCCGTAGGTAAAAATGTCCATGTCCCCAGTTAACTAGGAAAACTTCTTGTTCTGAAGAAAACCATGCAGATGGAAACAATGGAATGTTTCAGTATTGTAATGTTTTGATATTTTTGTTGAAGGTGTACATAAATCTTTCATTATACCCCCGTCGTAATGGAGGGCCGGCCCGGGGCATTAAGTTTTACTCTTGTCTGTCTGTACGTCCCAAAATTGATTTCCATTCTCTAACTTTAATTTGCCTCAACCAGATGTTATGAAACTAATACACAATGCTTATTACCACAGAACACAGATCAAGATTGAATTTTGTTGACATCATTTTTACCTTTCTAGAGTTACAAATGGAAAAATTGCTGACTTTTTCGTTTCTGTTTTATTACTTAAGTTTGCCTCAACCAAATGTTATGAATCTTATACGCAATGCTTATTACCACGAAACACAGATCAAGTTTGAATTTTGCATGTTTAGGTGGCGTCACTTTTGCCATTCTAGAGTTACAAAAATATATGCCCCTTTTAAAAGGAACAATTGCTGATTTTTTTGTTTCTGTTCTCTAACTTCAGTTTGCCTCAACCAAATATTATGAAACTTAAACACAATGCTTATTACCACAAAACTCAGATCGAGTACGAATTTGGATAACATCACTTTTACCGTCCTTGAGTTATGTCCCTTTATAACGTTATATGCAAACAGGGGCATCATCTGTGTCCCATGGTCCAAGTTTCCCCCCAAAAATCCGCTTATTTTTTTGGAAAATTGCTCTGGATTATTTTCTAGCAAAGTTTATAACAGGGAATTTTATAATATTTTTGGGAAAGTATATGTAAGTTTCGTTATTTTACCAGTTTAACTACATGTATTAAAGCTTCTTTGTAATTTTGTTTCTTACTATAAGCATGATAAGACGATCTTTTATATTTTAGTAAGTTTATATAAACCTAGCTTTTTATAAAACATGAGCTTTAAATTAATATATATAGTAAACTGCTAAAACAATGCAACTTACACATGTGTTACATGTACTGTCCAAAAAAAAAAGATAAAATTCCCTGTTACTAACTTTGCTAGAAAATAGTCTTGTCATGCTTGTGTAGTTTTTAACTTAAAGTATTAATACAAATGATTGTCTAAGAAACGAAATTTGAAAGAAACTTATTTCCCTCATGTTCCTAACAAAATTATTTTAAAGGGAACTTGAAATTTTCATTTTTCAAATATTTTTATATTATTTCTTCATTTCAGAAGAGCTATGATTTAAGTTTAAAAATCATCATAAATATGCTTGAAATATTTGACTCTATATATATTTTTTTTTATTCTCGCGTTAAAAAAGGGGGTATACTGTTTTACCTCTGTCTGTCCTTCCGTCAGTCCATCCGTCAGTCCATCCGTCCGTCCCATGAATATTTTCGTCGCATTTTTCTCGGAACTACTTGACAAGGATTTCTGAAATTTGGTTTCAGGGTTTATATAAGTAAGTTACACCGTGTGATGCGTTTTCAGATTCATCACTCAACAACTTCCTGTTTACCGAAATATTTCGGCGGGGGTATCATCAGTGAGCAGTAGCTCACAGTTTTACTTGTTTTAAAAGCAAAAAAAAAAAACTATCAATAAAATCTGACAATAATAAACATGATAAACAAGATTTTTTAAGAAATGAAGTCATTCAATGCAGTCTTTTTGTTTCTGTATTCTGTCAGACAGTGTTGTAGGTTTTGTCTGATGGAATAGATTTTATTTTGTCCAAAAAAAAAACCCAGCTTATTAAGCTTATTATTGTTAATGTTTTTTAATGTGTTTTAAAAAGTGTTGTTTTATGATGATATTCATGGTAAATTAATTGCCTTTCTGTGAGTCATGTTACGTTTCAAGGGCTTATCGGGGGCGGCGATAGCCCCTTGAACATACTTCTGACAGAGACATGACAATGTCATGAAGGGACATATGTTTCTAGTAAAATTGATTTAATACATGAACTTTAATTTTTATGATTACATGTTCATATAACTGACTTTTTTTCAAACAGTAAACAATATGTTCCCAGACTTTTCCTTCCTGTAGATAAACAGTTTCTTGAACTTTGCTACATATACATGATATATATATATATATATATATAAACTCAGACACGTAGCTATGTTCATGTCAAAACTCCCAGGCATATGGATGAATTTTGGACGCCTTTTTTTTAATCTAAATAAACTTAAAGAATTTGTTAAAAGCACATTTAGAATTGTAAATCATTCTTCTTGTAATTGAATATAAAGTTGACGAAATTTACCTTTTATCATATGGTATCGTTTTAGGCCAATTAAAATTAATTGATAGATTTTCATCACTGCCCGCCCCCTCTGAAATTGTCCCCCTCAATTTTTTTTTTAATTTTTAAAATTATCATTTCTGTATGACACAGAACATATTTTTGAACATTTATCACAATATGTCATGTATGTACTACATTTTGGCAAAGTATGAAAAATTCTATAATTTTTTTGTTAATAGTCTCCCATATATACATGAAAAAAGTAAAATCACAAAAATACTGAACTCTGAGGAAAATTCTAAAAGGAAAGTCCCTAATCAAATGGCAAAATCAAAAGCTCAAACACATCAAACGAATGGATAACAACTGTCATATTCCTGACTTGGTACAGGCATTTTCTTATGTAGAAAATGGTGGATTGAACCTGGTTTTATCTAAGCTAGCTAAACCTCTCACTTGTATCATATATACCACCTTCATAACCTTAACATTTATTAATAACATTTATGTTATGCCATGTATAAGATTGAATCAGATTGTTTGCATAATATGAAAAAATTGATAAATTAAATGCCTTTTGATTTGTTGGAGCAATAACAGTACATATATATACAATTATAAGTTTGTTTTTAAAAGACAAGCATCAAGTTTATTTGAACTAATTTTAGAGGGTCTAGATTTGTTTTACAAAATATAGAATAATGGGCCAATACTGCAGAAAAATTGCCTAAACGAACAAAGAATGGAGAAAAAAGGCCAGAAAATTAAAGAAAAATAGAAAATAACGGGGTGCTAAAGTAGGAAGAATAGAGAAAATTGGCTTAAAAGATTAAAGAATATTAATATTGTGGATTTATTCAGAAAAACTAGGACTTTAGTATTTAAAAATTGGGACATTATACATACCTGCCAACTTTCACGATTTAGGCATGTACTACACGATTTTGACCCCTTGTCACGATTGCACGATCGTGATCGTGAAAAAAGCTCTAAAACACAATTTTGTGAAAATCTACACGAAAAAACGGAAAAGTCAACAATCCTTTAATATTCTTACACATTCACAAGAAAATATATCCTGGTACATGTATTCTAGCTACATGTTCATTTCTTCTACTGATATAATGACTAGAATCATGCAAATAAAAAGAAGAAAAAAGCTTATAAGCTGACATCATCAGTATACCATATAAAAAAAGATATTGCACTTTTTCTAGAGCACAAAACAGCACACGCAAAAACGCCGCAAAAAATTGTAACCTTTGAAATTGTTGTCACGCACTAAAACCCCCATGGAGATTTATAAAAGTTGGCAGGTATGATTATAGGAGACTTTCTGAGACACTAATATTATTGTATTGAATAATGTTTGACTTTCTAAGACACTTAGTATGATTTTATGGGACTTTTTGGGACAACTGATAAGAAGTCTAAAAGAATCCCAGAAAATTCCCCTAAATCCCATTTAAAGTCTCAATCAAAACCCCAAATAAGCATTTCAAGGTTAGATACAGTCCTAAAAAAACACAGAAAAATCCCATGTTTCAATACTGTCCCAATTATTATCTCAAAATATCCCATATCACTTATCCTAGGATATACAGGGATAAAATTGGGACAATCCCAAAATATGTCCATTGATTTCTTGAGATATCCTAGGAAGTCAAACCCATTTTTCACAGGGGTAGAATTGAAGAACCCCCCATGCAGATCCTCATTTTAAACAAGTGATATTATTGTTACAGAATTGATTTTTAAGCTCATGGAGCAGCATAATATTCCATTGGGAAAATTTTGCTACGAATCATTTAATTCGCACGTTTCAAAAATTTCTATAGTTCACTGTTTGGATTCATAAATATTTTAAACCAAATATCAACATTTTAATTATGTTTTTTTCTGGAAAATATGTTGAAAATATTAGATTTTATTTTTTGTTATTTTTCAGGCTATATTATCTGGAAAGGTGTAATGTACAGTGTACGAATTTGCAGTAAATCAGATGATACAGAAAACAAGACTAAACTGTAAGTGATTTTATTTCTTTTTTCTTCTATATAAATTAAAGAAGATGTGTGGTTTATTGAAAATTATCAATGAAACAGCAACCCAACACATGATTACCGAAAGACATTGAGAGGCCAACATACATGACAGATAACCTAAAGACATCTTTTGTATTTCACTTATAAATGGACTTATTTCTTTTTGCAGTTAATAATATTTTGATACAGTCTAAGACTAAAATTTTTTTTAGACAACAATGATTTTTAGCTCACCTGGCCCGAAGGACCAAGTGAGCTTTTCTCATCACTTGGCGTCCGGCGTCGTCCGTCGTCGGCGTTAACTTTTTACATTTTGAACTTCTTCTAGAGAACCACTGAATGGAATGAAACCAAACATGGCATGAATGTTCCTTATGAGGTGCTGACCAAGTGTTGTTACTTTGTAGCTGATCCATAATCCAAGATGGCCGCCAGCAGGGGACTTAGTTTAACATGGGACCCTATGGGAAATACATACAAATGTCTTCTTTTAGAGAACCACTGAATGGAATGAAACCAAACATGGCATGAATGTTCCTTATGAGGTCCTGACTAAGTGTTGTTACTTTGAAGCCGATCCATAATCCAAGATGGCCGCCAGAGAGGGACTTAGTTTGACATAGGACCCTATGGGAAATGCATACAAATGTCTTCTATTAGAGAACCACTAAATGGAATGAAATCAAACATGGTATGAATGTTTCTTATGAGGTGCTGACCGAGTGTTGTTACTTTGAAGCCGATCCATAATCCAAGATGGCCGCCAGCAGGGGACTTAGTTTAACATGGGACCCTATGGGAAATACATACAAATGTCTTCTTTTAGAGAACCACTGAATGGAATGAAACATAACATGGCATGAATGTTCCTTATGAGGTCCTGACTAAGTGTTGTTACTTTGAAGCCGATCCATAATCCAAGATGGCCGCCAGAGAGGGACTTAGTTTAACATAGGACCCTATGGGAAATACATACAAATGTCTTCTTTTAGAGAACCACTGAATGCAATGAAACCAAACATGGCATGAATGTTCCTTATGAGGTGCTGACCAAGTGTTGTTACTTTGAAGCTGATCCATCATCCAAGATGGCAGCCAGTGGGGAACTTAGTTTAACATAGGACCCTATGGGAAATACATACAAATGTCTTCTTTTAGAGAACCCCTGAATGCAATGAAACCAAACATGGCATGAATGTTCCTTATGAGGTGCTGACCAAGTATTGTTACTATGAAGCCGATCCATAATCTAAGATGGCCGCCAGCGGAGGACTTAGTTTAACATAGGACCCTATGAGAAATACGTACAAATGTTTTCTTTTAGAGAACCATTGAATGGAATGAAACCAAACATGGCATGCATGTTCCTTTTGAGGTGCTGACCAAGTGTTGTTACTTTGAAGCTGATCCTTCATCCATGATGGCTGCCAGATGGGGACAATGTTTAACAAAGGACCCTATGGACAATACATACAAATGTCTTCTTTTAGAGAACCACATACTGAATGGATTGAAACCAAACATGGCATGAATGTTCCTTATGAGGTGCTGACTAAGTTTTGTTACTTTGAAGCTGATCCTTCATCCATGATGATGGGAAATACATACAAATGCTTCTTCTAGAGGTGCACTGAATGGAATGAAACCAATTAAAACATGGCATAAATGTTTCTTATGAGGTGCTGATTAAGTGTTGCTACTTTGTTGCCGATTTACTGTTCAAGATGGCCACCAGGATTTTTTATTAAATTACAGGACCAATATTAAACCAAATTTGGCCTCACTCATTATTAGGGTATCTGTTATGATTTAAATCTATTTTTACATGATTTCCAAAACCAAAGTAGAATCAGGTGAGCGACACAGGCTCTTGAGAGCCTCTAGTTTTCTTATCTTGCACAGAAGTTTTATTTTCATGATCAACAAAACAAGATTATAAGAGCGAAAATTTAGAATTTGTTTTTTTCTTCATTTTTCCATATTTTACATGTAGATCACGACTTATGTTTATCATGTTGATAGCAGCAGGCGAGACACAGGGTTCTGTGGAACCAGTCACAATTTTTTTATTTAATTCCTGTAGGTTGTCAATCGTACTTCAAAAAAAAAATCTGTGTTTGTGTTTTAGATGTTCGCTACTCTACATGTAGTTTTTATGCCAGATATTTGGAATCTTCTTGTTTTATCCATGTACAGTCAGGGATATAACTCTATAGAGTTATTAGAGAAAAATAACATACATATGTTATTGTTGACTAAAAAATCAAAAAACATATGTATGTTACATGTTTCAAAGGTCAAATATACATCATTTGTTTTGTTAAAATGTATTCAAGTTCTATTGATATTGTCATTGTCTTTATGTATAATAAACTTTAGAAAGATATAACAGTTCATAATATGCCAATCAAGCATAGTACACCTATGTTATTACAGAAAAAAATATGCCTGAAATAACTAAAGGGTGTTATTACAGCTTCTCTACATCACTTCAAAGCCTTTGCTAAGACATATATCATGTTTAATCACAATGTATTTTAATTTATTGTAAGAAATAATGATCATAGCATGTAATGAGGTTCTGCGCAAGCTTCCCAGGAATTCCCAAGTGTCTCATACAATAAGTTATATGCCTTTAATAACTAAGCCTTGTTATTACAGCTTAGTTTGTCCCTTAAAAGCCTTGCCTCATTGATTTACCATGGTTGATGAAAAATGTATTAATTTAAGTGGAAAATTAGTTATCAAGGCTATGTATTTAGTTTCTGCACAAAGTTTCAAGATTTCCCCAGTGCCCACTAAAAATTGAAATATGTTTGATTTATTTAACAAATAACAAACATATGTTACTACAGATTTAGAAAATTTAAGAAATAAGGAGTAGACAACTCATAAAAGTATCTGTAATAACACATGTATGATATTTTCTGTAATAACCCTATAGAGTTATATTGATGTAGTACCAATAAAATTTTTGTCCACTTACCCCTACTTTTCTTTTCATAATTTCATATTACATATAGTTTTAAAAGCCATTTTTGAAAATCTTATAACATGTATAAAATTCTTGTAATTTTTGCATAGTTTTTGAAAGAAAAAAGTTGCCAATGTAAATTGTATAAAATTATATAGAATAATATAGAATCATTTCCCGCCAAATTTTCAATTGATAAAATCTCGAAAAACAAGGACATGTACCTTTCATTTTTTCTGCTTTTTAAGTCCCTTTATTTATATACTATCAATTTATTATTAGTCTTTTAAAAAGCTTGTTGTTTTGAGACAGAGGAGCGAACATCCTTATTAGTTCAGTAAAAGTATTGATCAATTTAACTCTTATTGTTTAAATCTATATTTCCTATTGTTTAAGTGTTTCAGGCCATCCTTAAAAAAATGCTTGTTCAATGTTGCCTTAACCCATGCCTTGTAAAGTCAATTTTGCCAGAGGCTATTAGAACCTTAGTTTCATATTAATTTCTTAATTTATCAAAGGAAAATTTAAGAAATGTATACATTTAAAACCCAGTGAGTGACTTCAATGGAGAAGCATTGAGTAATATCCATGGGCTAAATGCTATTCTTATGGATTGATAGTCCACCAGCAGTACTGGTAGTGGTATCAAGGGTTGAGTACTGTGAGTCATGTTTAACCCTGCCAAATTTTTTATGTAACTGTCCAATAGTCAGGAGCCTGTAATTCAGTGATTGTCTTTGGTTGCTGTGTGCAATATTTGTTTTTCTTTGATTGTTTTTAGTATACTGAGGATTCATTTATTTTTTGTGGGTATCAATTTTCGTGGATTGAGGAAAACTTGCATTTTCTTGGATATTTGTTTTCGTGGTTTTGCCATTCTCTGCATACAAAGCCTATAGAAAATTTAAAATTTGTAAAAACATTTGAATTTGTGGTTCACCTGTAACCACGAAACCCACGAAAATCGGTATCCAACTAATAATAATGAATCCCCAGTAAATCTAACTGTTTTTTTCTCTTTTGAATTGTTTCACCGTTTGTCATGCAAGAGACTTTTATAGCTTACTACCCGTATATATGGTATAAGTTATGCACATTGTTAAAGGCAGTTATTATTACCTATAATTTTTTACATCCTCGTCCTGTAGTCTCTGGTGGATATTTGTGTCATTTGCAGTAATACCACATCTCCTTATTTTTATACTCACCAAAAACCCAGGAAGAACCCAGGTGTTCCCTAAGCAGTTTTGCTGCTCCACTAACAGCAAATGAGTGGTGCTCATGGCAAGTAAAAATCAAGCGATAAATTGCATTTAGTAATATGACGAAAAAGCAGAAAAGAAGGAAATTACAATAAAAAGATCATTAAATTGTTTTGCCCCTGCTGTGGTGGAGGAGGGGAATTAAGTGTTACCCTTTTCTATCCATACGTCCATCCGTATGAATGTCCCAAAATTAGTTGCCATTCTCTAACTTTCAGTTTGCCTCAACCAAATGTTATGAAACTTATACACAATGCTTATTACCACAAAACTCAGATCAAGTCCGAATTTGGGTGGTGTCACTTTTACCGTTCTCAGGTTATGTCCCTTTATAATGCAGGGGTACATCCGTGTCCCATGGACACATTCTCCATTTATTTTTTTATGAAGCTACATTTTCACTTTAAAGAATGAACAAGAAAGTTTTTAATTTTATTTCAGAACTTTTTATTTTGCTGAAACAACCAAATTTAGTCTATTCTAAAAGCTAATTATAATAAATAATAATTCTCTTATTCACAGAATAAAGAAAATTCTTTTATTCACAGAATGAAGAATAGAAAATGAAAAGACACATATCTAAGGAGCTGCTCCAAGCAGAAAGACTAGCTAAACAGATGGAGTCCGAGGAATTAGTCACACCACTCCGGCTTCTTCTGGTGCTCATCATTTCAGTTGCCTTGGTTACAGCTGTATCATTCAGCGCTGCCAATACATCAGATTATTTACTTTCTTCGTCCGATGAAACAATTAATTTGACAACAGTACCTTATATATATGATTACCTTAAAGCTGAAAAAACAAGGGAAGAAAATATGGAATTTTATAACCAACCTTTAGATCAGTGGACCGTAGAAAAGAGGTCACGCCTTTCCTTAGATGAATTCTGGGATATATATGATGGCAAATGGTAGGATTTTTTATGTGACTACAACATTTACTGTTTTGATTTACGTGTACATATGTAGCAGCGATTTAAATTGTTTGATGTTGCGTGACTAAAAAATTTATGACACATATCGTTTAAAATAAATATTTTAAAGAATTTTTCCTGCTCTAACGAAAATTTTCTTGTCTTAAACATTGAACTTACTAAGTATGTCATGTATGTTGTTGGCAAAAAAAAAAGAAAAATCCCAACACTACAAGGCATGGGTAGGCAACACCCAAAAAAGAATTTTTTAAGAGTTAGCCTTATATTTGATATCTATGATGGTAAATGATAGAATTTTGATGGGACCACAAATTTATTGTTTGTTGTTCATTTATGCATTACCGGGTATTGACTTTGCTTTTTGTGTGTTTTTTTGTTGTGCATGTACTGATTTTGCACCATAGATAGATACCCCATAATCTTTGTTTTTCTATTAAAAGAGGGACAAAAGATACCAGAGGGACAGTCAAACTCATAGATCGAAAACAAACTGACAACGCCATGGCCAAAAATAAAAATACAAACAGACAAATAATAGTACAGATGACACAACATAGAAAACTAAAGACTAAGCAACACGAACCCTTACAAAAACTGGGGGTGATCTCAGGTGCTCTGGAAGGGCAAGCAGATCCTGCTCCACATGTGGCACGCGTTGTGTATTAAATTATTACATGGTTTATATTTGAAGATACTTAACTGTACAAATTGTACATAATTTAACAACATTTTTTTTCAACCATTGACATTTTACAGTCCTTGATAACTTAAGGCTAAGAAAAATTTTCATATAGATTTTCACAAAATTATGTTTTAGGACTTTTTCACGATCATGGTCCTGCAATTGTGACAATGGGTTAAAATTTTGAAGTTCATGCCTTTTGTAACATGGTTAAAGTTGGCTATTGAAGATGAACTTGTGATTGTTGTGTGCATGTTCAGGACCTTATGAGTATTTGGACCATATGAGTATTTGGACCACATGCATATTGTTGTGACCATATGCGTATATACTCATATTGTCTGACCATACACATATGGTCTGGGTAATTAATATGATAAACGTTGATCAGTTACCTTTACTGTCAATTGCACCCTTCAAGGTGTCATAAATTAAGAAGCTTTAAAACTGAAATTTGACTTATATAATCATTTGATAATGTGACAATATGAGCCTCGTCTTTTAACTTTAGTTTTTGTAGTTTGGGAACTAGCTCATAAAAACACATCTTACATTAACAACATTTATTACAAGAGAGAGTGTAAACAAAAAGGCGCTTCTGGACATCACATAGTAAAAGCATTTTTGCATGGTCATGATTGATTTAATAAGTGTATGCTCCTATTTCAATTGTACAATTTAACAGCTAGAGTAGTTTAAACGTGTTGCCCCTCTATTCCTATGTCGAAAATAAAATATATAAATAAGAACATGAACACATTAGTAAAGTGAGAATAAGTGGAAATCAGAAGAAATAAAATAAAAAAAAACCTTATCTAAACGTCAGGAAAAAGACACATGCCCAAATGCACGAACCAAATTGTCGACAGCGTTAAGAAGCTTTGAATTTACTCTAGCTAAGGGCTATTCCATTAAAATGTGTGTGGGAGGGTAGGACATGTAGGAAGGGACTTTAAAAATATCCCTACAACCAATTTAAGAACCGTTTTTTAGATAATTTTGCATAATGGTAATAGACGCATACTGAAAAAAACCCATGACCCACATTCAATAATTAAACTTCCCTTCCTACCCTCCCACATACATTTTAATGGAATAGCCCTAAAGCAAGACAACAGATATACTAAGGTTCAGACAATGTGTCAATGATAATTAGGGTTTCAATTAGTAACTTGTATAGACTGGGTTCATAGAATGAGCCCTGTATTCCTGTGAAAGAAGTTAAAATTTATTTAAAAAATAACTATATGGTTTAAATACTGATATTGTCCCGCCCGTTAATAACCGAACAAGTATACCCATATATATGGTCCAAATACTCATATTGTACGGTACATGCACATTACATGAAATGTGACAAATTTGAAATGATTTGTATTTAACAATTTGTGTGATTACCCGTAAAAGACTTTTAACATAAATTCCATTATGATCCGCAGAAAATGCAAGCAAGACATTTCAGTGTGCACACTCTTCTAATCAGGTTTATATGGTTTTATATAGCCAATGAGACAAATATTCATTAAAGACTAAAAGACACAATGAATATTGAAGAAAACAGCTCATTAGCCATGACTTTGAAGAAACAGTTTGAATGATAATTTTTTTTATAAATTATGAATTTTTGTTTTGTAGGCCTGTTATAATAACTGATGTTGTTGATAAATGGCCAGCTATAAACTGGACAAAACCTTTCTTTTTACAAAATTATGCAGATGAAAAAGTAATGGTGAAAGCTGTTGTGGTGAGTAGGATTGTTTTTTCTCTCTCTCTGCATGCTTCAATTTTGCATGAGTTGTTTCTCCTTGGATACAAATAAAAAGATTGATTGATTATTGATAAATGGTGAACAAAATATATTGGGTACATGGTCTGAGGACACAGTTATCGTCCTTTGATTTTCATTGCAAAATTGTCTACAAATATAGTCCCTAGTGTGGACAGTGTATAACTTGCATATTTTTTTAAAACACTTTCCAAATTCATTTCCTTGAATGAAATATTAAGTATGCGGATGAAATTACCTGTTAAAAATATTTGGGTGCTGAATTTTTATGTAAAGTAGTGATTTGGTCCAGTTTAAAAAGGTCAAAAATTAGTATGTCTGGAGCTGTCAAACTGAATTATAGACCCCCTTAACATAGAATTTTCCAGATTTTGAGTTAGAGCTGGTAGACTTCTATAAATTTGATATTATTTGTCCCAAAAGTAGTACACTACACTGTAGAAATCTTTTTGAGATAGAGCAGGTGCGATTTTTTAAATTTTAATTTATTGTCTAAAAGAAATGCACTATGAAATAACTGTGTTCTCGGCCTATATATATATATATACATCCACAAGACGTCAACCAAACAACACAAAAAACCAGAACCCTTGCATCTACCTTATTGAGGCTTGTATAGTCCGCAGTCTTTTTCTCCAAAATAAACATTGCCGGCAGGGGTGTGGATTATAGAGTACCATAATGGCTTGTAAAATCTGCACTGGTACAGTGTCCACACCAAGGATCTGGAAATTTTTTTCACACAGTTTTGGTCATTTTAAGATGACTTAAAAGTTGGTGTCCTTTTTTCAAATTGTTGATATAACACTAGATTCAAAGCATCAACAAACTTGTATTGACTGTTTCATCGTATTTATTTCGTGAATTTTCTTACTATTTTTCTAAAAATGTCAAGAACAGTTTAGGGAAGGCAACAGTTTAAAATTGAAATGATTTTAATGACTGAAAATGGTATATTTCTCAGACTATGCTAACGTTTCTTTCGATTTTGAAGACAAAATTAAAACCGGAAGTGTTGCGACAATACTTAAAGTACGAGTAATTCCGGATCCATATCCAAGATTCGTTTTGTTTATCAAAATAAATTGACAGGAAATCACAGTCTTTTGAATTTTATTACCTTTAAAAGTGTATGAATATAACAGATATTGGTTGCACTCGTTTAATTTGGCATGAAATCATTTAGCATTTTTCAATTAAGTATCTTATCTGCTGAAGACAATTTCACGCATGCGTATTACATAGTATATAAACATAATAAAGCACATGTGCTACTAGTGAAAAATTACTTTTTCTACGTAAATTAAATTAAGTTTTAATTTTTAAATCAGAATTGATGATTGTCTTTGCTGAAATGTAATTAAATAACGAAAACAGTTGTCATGGAATTTAAATTTCTTTATGATATTAGTTCTGAGCTTGTGATCAATGCAAGGTGACATGTGAATTAAAAACACAGGTAAAAAGTGATTAGCGATCATTAGCCAATATTTCCCAGAGGCATTAATATAGTTATAAGGAATTAAGGCCCTCAGGATTATCAAACTATACTGGAGTGGCAGTTTTATTACAGGAAAGGGATTATAAAACAAAAACAAGTGTAAAATGGCTATTTAGAAACCCGATCTCAATGAAATGACTGAAATTATTTCTGTAAAAAAATAAAATTTGTCCTAAATCCCTGTTTTTTGTTTAGGACAAATAGCTTTCAGTTTATGTCATGTCTGACAAATATGACAGTTTTGGGACCCTTGGTCCGCACCCCCCTTTTTGCCACCAGAATTCAGGAAATTTTTTTTGTAACTGCTTGAAAACGTCTTTTTTCAGCACTTTCAAAATTTAAGACTCAGGGCCATTAAAATCAATATTATGGTCAATATAGGATCAACAAAATACATGTGTTCATACATTAATTTTCATGTATGTCAAGATTTTATGACCCGAGTCTAAAATTGAAAGTGCTGAAAGAATTTAGCATACACTTTCAAAGATTTCTGCCAGCAGTAAATTCTCCAAATGACAAAGCTTGAGATATTACCAAATGAAGAGCAATAGAGTATCAATACTAAACTATGTTGTGTTGAAGAATCCTGGAAGAAAGAACTGCCCTTGTTTTCTCGCGGTAGTAAGCTTCCCTGGATTGTGAAAAGCTATTGGTTCAATTCCATGTAGTGTTAATCAAAAATGTGAAAATTCGTTTTCTGCTGCTTCTCTGTTAAGAGCGTGATATTAAGCAGAAAAACTAATGAACGACTGCACATGGTCGGTTTTGAGTACAAAAATTAACTAGTCCCTGTAGGGTGGTTTAATCGAATGTTACTGGTACCATGTGAACTAGGACTTTTAAAGCACAGCTCTCCTCCTGAGTATATGTTTAATCTGCCAGTTTACAATGTACATGTACATTAAACAACTTTCTTTCACATTCATTGATGCTTTCAAGAAGTTCTTTTCTATGTTGGTATTATCATCTGGGTTTCTTATTATATAGAAAAAGTCGATGTGGTATGATTGCCAATCAGACATCTATCCTCTAAAGTTCAAAAGGAGTCGATGTAAATAAGCAATTATAGGCAACCGCATAGACTTCAACAATGAGAAAAAACCATACCGTATTCTCATACATACTGGTAATCCAACCATTTATAAATAAGTTATCATAATATCATTATTATGTGAAAAAGGTAAAAAGATATAAGAGATATATATATCTTATTGTCTTATCTTTAAAGAGTCTATGTTTGTTGATGTGGTTCATAAGTGTTTCTCATTTCTCATTTTTGTCGAGCCTTCGACTTTTGTCGAAAAAGCGAGACATAGCGATCCTACATTCCGTCGGCGTCGTCGTCGTCGGCGGCGTCCACAAATATTCACTCTGTGGTTAAAGTTTTTGAAATTTTAATAACTTTCTTAAACTATCCTGGATTTCTACCAAACTTTGACAGAAGCTTGTTTATGATCATAAGATAATATTCAAAAGTAAATTTTGTAAAAAAAAAATTCCATTTTTTTCCGTATTTTACTTATAAATGGACTTAGTTTTTCTGCCAAGAAACATTACATTCACTCTGTGGTTAAAGTTTTTGAAATTTTAATAACTTTCTTAAACTATCCTGGATTTCTACCAAACTTGGAAAGAAGCTTGTTTATGATCATAAGATAGTATCCAGAAGTAAATTGTAAAAAAAAAAATCCATTTTTTCCGTATTTTACTTATAAATGGACTTAGTTTTTCTGCCAAGAAACATTACATTCACTCTGTGGTTAAAGTTTTTGAAATTTTAATAACGTTCTTAAACTATCCTGGATTTCTACCAAACATGGAAAGAAGCTTGTTTATGATCATAAGATAGTATCCAGAAGTAAATTTTGTAAAAAAAAAAATCCATTTTTTCCGTATTTTACCAGGAACATATATATTGACGGGACTTGACACTACCTAATTTTAGCCGATTTTATCGTCGGGTCATAGGTAACAAAGATACGATACGGAAACGGACCTGTTTTAATAACGTACTCGCTATTATCCTAATAATTTCTGATAATATCAATAAAATGTCATTCAAACTAGTTTAACAGTGATGCCAGTGTATCAAACTTGTATTCTGTCACTTCAAATTTGTTATAACCGCATTCATTTTATCACAGAATGGTACAGAATGCAAACAGGGTAATAAAAAAATGGCGCCGATTGCCTTCCCATTTTCAAAAACACTATAAAACACTTCACATCAAATAAATCACACTTATTTTGGTAATTTTATATGACAAAATGTATCTACTTTATGATAAAACTTGTATTTATTTACGATTAGAATTATGTGGTTAATTTATTGAGCAGTTCCTATACTGTTTTTAAGTCAGACGCCAGCAAAATCCATAAATCTTGCGAAGTCTCGTGGAGTCCGAGATTTTATCCATTTTATACAGAAAAGCCTATCAGATTCATTTCCCGTTAGATATACTGTTCCCAGATTTTACTTATAAATGGACTTAGTTTTTCTGCCAGTTAACATTACATTCACTCAGTGGTTAAAGTTTTTAAAATTTTAACAACTTTCTTAAACTATCCTGGATTTGTACCAAACTTGGACAGAAGCTTGTTTATGATTAAAAGCTAGTATTTAGAAGGAAATTTTGTTAAAATTTTGTTTGATTTTTTCTGTATTTTACTTATAAATGGACTTTGTTTTTCTTCCAGTTAACATTACAAACAGTCTGCAGTTTAAGTTTTTAAAACATTTATTAGATTCATAAACTATCCTGGATTTTTACCAAACTTGGACAGAAGCTACTAACAATCAAAAGATAGTATAGAGAGGAATATTTTTATTTATTTTTTTCCTCATTTTTGTTGAGCCTGCGATTAACAGCAAAAGTAGGCTAGACACTGGGTTCCGCGGAACCCTTACGAATTTTTATATAGATTAGACCGTTGGTTTTCCCGTTTGAATGGTTTTACACTAGTAATTTTTGGGGCCCTTTATAGCTTGCTGTTCAGTGTGAGCCAAGGCTCCATGTTGAAGACCGTACTCTGACCTATAATGGTTTACTTTTATAAATTTTGATTTGGATGGAGAGTTGTCTCATTGGCGCTCATACCACATCTTCTTATATCTATATATGACATAGTTTGCCACCATTTTCGAGTTGATTGTTTTCAGTAGTTCTTTTAAAGTGCTTCTTCTGAGGAGTCAAAGTTTATCGAAGTTAAGTTCATGCAAGCTTTGTTTCTACACATAATTCATGTTAAAACAGCCGAAAAGAAATGCAACGATTTGAATGATTCATTGGTTTTCACTTCAGAATAGCAAACCTGCAGCAGTAGCAGTCAACATGGACACTTTTATTAGTGAGCTGGACACTTCTGGACCAAATGGTTGGACCTATCTTGAAGATGAATTATTTATAGTCACCAGACCTGAACTTAAGAAGGATATTGGTCCTAATGTATGTATTGTACAGTAACACTTTCACTTTAACAGTGCATGTAGAAAAAATGTATAACTATAGTCAGACTTGCAGTACACCATGTCATGGTGAAGGTCCTTTTTGATTAAAATCATTTCTTTTTAATGTTTTTTCATCAAAGTGAAAGAATTATAAAAAGAAATACTTGTGGAGAAAAATGAAGAAGAAAGTGAATGGTTTATAATCCTTGGCAATCAATCATTATTTGATATCAAGACAAAAACTTGCATCCCCAATCGACAATTTCCAATTTTTGCATTGATTTTTTATGTATTTATATGAGTTTGGCACATTCAAGAAAATTTATACAGGGGTTCAAATTAACATTTGGTACTGGAAGGTCCAGGACCTTTGACACTCCAAACTGAAAGGTCCACAACCTAAATTCCAGGTCCTACTTTTACTTGAAATATTTCCTAACATAGTAAGATACAAGTAACAAAATTAATGTGCTGTTGGTGTTAGGTCAACTTGTTTCATTGTCAAAGTCACTGTTGTATAAAATATTTAATAACAATTGTAAGTGTCTTGTATATTATAATTCAGATATAAATCTTTTTTTTTTTGTTATTGAGGAGGGTGTCACACCATGGGTGGGTGTGTTGTCTCAACTATTGGTAATTTATTACTACTTATACCATTTTATTAAACAGTTCAAATTCAAAGCTGTTAAAGCAGAGACGTATATACATGTGTATATATGTCTCTGGTATAAGTGTATCATATCTAGTTGCACTATTATAATGCATAAGTTCCTCTGTGAAAATAAGATAAGAAACTTCCAGATTTGTACTGGTCCTTTAAAATTGAGAAGACATTACCTCTTGGAATTGTAGTAATACGTTTACACTATACAAAAATCTACATGTAATATCAATATTTATTAATGAAAAAAGAAAATTACTGTCACATTTTTTTTGGATTTTGAGATGAAAATTTATGAACTAAGTAATTTTGAGTTTCTGTAAAAAAATATTTCCTACTTTTTCTTTCTTTTCAATATATCTTTTGGTTTTCAATTCTAGTGTTTATATTTTATCATCATAGATGTATTTTGTCAACAGCCTGGAATTATTATATTTTCATTGTATTTGATTGGCAAACCCGTTATTACCCTTATCCGCTCCGGAATCATATCTTTTTTTCTTTCCAAATCTTCACATCCTTTGTAGGACAACCACACCGCTACACTATCTGTTCGGCATGTAGAACAAAACCCACCACCATGAATAAAGAAATATATGTACACTATATTTTGAATAATACTATCCTCCACCAATATATACAAGTTCACTTTTGTAGTTGCTCGCATAACTTGTATGTACTCTTAGTTGCATTTAAAATTCATAGGCTAGTTACTGGACATATTTACAGGGGGATTATATATGTTTACGTGGTAAAATAGTTCATACGTAAAAAGAAAACGTTGTAAAATAATTACATCAGTCAGGTTCGCACTCTAAAATCTAAAATCTAAGATAGTTCGCCTTTCATATTGGTCTTATTAACGTCCAGTATACGGGTAGTCCTTTCACAATGGCCTAAGAATCTAAAAAATCGGCTCATTGAGCTTATTGTCTTTGTATTCACATCGTAAAATCTACTTAAATCACTTGTACTCCGTGCATTGAGCTTGTCGTTACACATCATAAAATCTAATAAAATTTAAATATTCACCTTATCTTTATTAGCACAATAAAGAATAAAATGACTTTAAAAGGTAAAAGATATCGTCTCGCGTCTGTATTGGCACCGGCACACCCATATTACGTATTAATATGCATATTATGTTCTTTGCACGCATGGGCATAATACTCTCATGAGCATTTGACATTTATGATGTTATACTATGTGTTCGACCTATTTGGAGTTGACTGCCCTACATCCCAGACCCCACCCTCCCATAGACCATGACCAGGATATCTTCCATTCAGCTATGGTTGTAGTAAGAGTTTACATCTGGCACTGTGTATAAGGAATATAAGACGTCTTTCTTGGTGTTCTATCTTTGAGACTTCTTCACTGTTTAGTCGAAGTTGTCGTTGTACCATGGTTACGTCCATCAATATCTGTATTTTAAACCCTTCACTTAGGGACTCCCATTCTATATTACTGTGGTTTGTCAGTAGACTCTCTATATCATTAATGACTGGCCTTCTGATGTTATCCCAAGCTTTACATTCAATCAACAAATGTTCAACAGTTTCCTCTTTCTGGCTGCAGGCTTTACATATCTCCTGATTTCCCTCTTTGTAGATTTTATATCTCAGGGGCTATATTATTTTCTTCATTTCCGGTTTATGGCATCCAATGTTTTTCAATGTTGTTTTGTCAGTCAGATACGATTTTACTCGGATTTACAAATTACTAGTTGGCAATTTTCGGTATAAAGCTAACAGTTGAACAAAATGAACATCGCTGTCATGAATAATAATGATGAAAATAAATTTTGAGATTGTTTGGAAATTTTTGTTTAAAAGGGTCGGCAAAGTTAATTTTTATTTTCTTTCAAACCGAAGGTCTGTCGGGCGTAGCTTGTAACCTAAACAAGAGTCCGATTGCAAAAAACGGAAGGTTGCGGACCTCGGACCACCGCTAATTTGAACCCCTGTTATATTCACATTATTTTTTCTATTCATGGAAAAGGTATAAAGGAAATCTCTTGCTAAAATTAACTGTGATAACTCTGATATAAGAGATATGTGATTAATGCCAATGAGACAACAACTCAATAAAAACACCAACTTTAACTTTTTTGATAATTACAGGTTTATGCAGAGGAAAATTTCTTTAATCTATTCCCAGATGAAGTTAGACCTTGGGACTGTTTGATGTTATGGGGTTCACAATTTTCTAGGTCCAGTTTACATATGGACCCTTACAACTGGACTGCTACAAATGCTGTATTGTATGGACACAAATCATGGATGGTAAGATACATGTACATTTACTTTTATTAATTTTCCATCAAAATAATTTTTATGCCCCCGCCGTAGCGGAGGGGGCATTGAGTTTTACCCTTGCGTGTCTGTACATCCCGACATTTGGTTCCCAAATGTTATGAAACTTATACGTAATGTCTATTACCAGAAAACACAGATCATGTTTGAATTTGGGTGGGGTCACTTTTACCTTACCTTTCTAGAGTTATGCCCCTTTACAAATGGAAAAAAAATCTGAATTTTTCGTTTCCGTTCTCTAACTTATAAAGTTTGCATCAACCAAATGTTATGAAAATTATACACAATGAGTAGTACCACAAAAATTCAGATCAAGTTCAAATTTGGGTAGCATCACTTTTACTGTTCTTGATTTATGTCCCTTTATAACGTTATATGCAAGCAGGGGCATCATCTGTGTCGCCATGGACACATTCCCAATTTATTTGAGCCTACCTACCCTGCCGATGGGCCATTCTTAACTTTAACATTAGAAAAAGCACCATCTTTATAGTAGTGGTAATCTAAACAGCAAAAACACAGGTATAAGTAAAACTTCAGTAAATAATTAAAAACCAATTGTTCAGTGAACAAATGAAGGTCTTTCCACATCAAAGAAATTTTGAAAAGAAGCTAGTTTCCTCAGACTGATGCGATAAATAAATGGTTTTGATCTGCTTTAAAGTGAACTAAAGGAGATAATGTGCTACTTCCGGTTAAGTGGATGTTACTTCCGGTCTCATTTGATAGCTTCTTTCACACTGATTCCAAAAATATATAGTTTCTATATACTTTTGCCTGTAAACCCGGATATAATTGACCACTTCCGGTCTTAAGTGATAAGTAAATGTATTTAAATTACAAAATATATGGATTCTGAGTACTTGTATATGAAAAAGTGCAAAAATGGCTACTTCCGGTTTTCTCAAGGTCACTTCCGGTTGTCATTTTTCAAGGTCATATGTCACCTAACCTTTTGTACAAGGTCATATGGCTTTATAATGAACTTAGTTGAAGTTATAATCAAATAATCTTATATTAAGACATTTCAGGGGCACTAACTCCTATAAGATGCCATTAAATTGTATCAGACCAAATGTATCATATCTTCATTACAATAAAGCAAACATTTTGCACTTGTTCTTTAATATGTATCTTTCAAAGTGTCGGAGAAAATGCAAAAACAAGCAAAAGTCACAGTTGAGAACTTGACCTTGACCTTTGACCTTGACCTCAATTTCTACGTTAGGACCTAGGGGCCTCAAATAAAAACATTCCAGGGTTATACGGTTAACGGTTGATGAGTTGAAACCACATACCTACAAATTTATTTTGTAAAGGTAGATAACTCCTATAAAATTTCATCGAATCGCTTCGATCCAAATTAGCCAAAAATTCCTGAGGATGTAAAGAACAATTTGTAAAAAGAATTTTGTCGATATCTTTTTTTTGTTACGAAGGAGATGCACACAGATGATAAACAGTGAATAGGGAGATAACTCTTACAAAGAAAATGGTTCGGCTTAGCAGGGTGAAATTTAAAAGCGCATAAACTATACGATACAATATGAGAAATATCTAAGCGACATATTGCGAAACAAACATTTATCGCAAGAACAAAATTTGGCGGAAGATATAAATAATAATAATAATAATCAGAACAAATACAATAGGTCTTTCCACAGAAAAGTGGAAAGACCTAATTAAGAATTACAGAATACTTTCATTTACTGAGACTTAAATTGCTACTGATATAAAAGAAATTAAAATCATTTTGATTTAATTACATATCCTGTGACCACACTTTGTATACAAGGTTCTGAAAGAATTCTATTCTATTTTCTGTTCTGATAATTATTACATCAGCCCAAATGAAATTTCTACCTTCAAATTTTTTAAAGACTGTATCCATACGACAGAGGACTGATAGATCTTTAAAACAAAAAGGTAGAAAGGACCATTTTCAGATCCTTGTAAGCAAAGTTTGGACACAAGGTCTGTAATTCAATCAGATTGCCTTCAATGTCACAGTTCCCAAATTGCACTGATTACCCATATTAGCAAAAGTAGCAGCGGAGGTCTTACAAGTTTTCTTAAAGAATTAACCATTGGTATTTTTATTATTTGACACTATGCACGTCTTTCAATGTCTTTCTCAAATTCTGTTTCAAGATAGCTAAATATATTTAAATAAACACAATATAAAAGCCCTAGCTGTTCATTGATAATTTTTAATTTTTTCTATGTATTGTGTGCGATTTTGTCCCATGTACATTTACTCCATATCCTTTTATTTTCTACAAAACCTTCACAGTATATATCAACAGATGGAGTATTTACTCCAAAAAGTAAAATCTACGGAAACATCGCCATGCGACTTCCACAAAAAGTCAACTTTTAAAAATAAGCAATTAAAATTTGTAACAGGCTTCCATTTCTGAAAAAATTGAATAGAAATCATGGACTATTGTCAAATTGTTCTAAATATTTGAAGAAATAAAACAAAACATCAGTTATTTGTTTTTTACGGATGTGAATTTAAGCATGGATGCAATATAGGTGCTCTTCATTACAGAGTCATGGGTCGTTTGGAGGTCGGTTCAAACCCATTTTTCTATGATTCAATATGGATTCAAACTTAAATTGTTGGGACTATATAGTGAATAAGGATACATCTACAAAATAAACACAGAATAGAAACGTTTGTCTGGATCATAAATTTACTTACTAGATGAAAAATCTGTCAAAATAGGTGCAATTTAGGTATCCTGATGTTAAGACATTCTGGGTTACTTGTAAAAATTTTCAGCTATATACTGCTGTGTAGATTTCTTACAGCAATGGCATGTTTATAACAGTGCAGGAAGTCATTACAAATGCAATAATTAAAGTAACTTTGCACAGAATTTTAATACATTAAAAAAAAATAAAACAATAAGTCTTTTATTATTGAATGAATTGATGTTCACAACAACGGGTGATATGTTTAGATTATTACGGCATTATTATTGATCTCTATCATTATTAGAAGTTTAATTATGCTCACTCCCCAAAAAATCTAAACCAAAATCAAGTGCAATTCTTCACATTGTTAGCTTGATGAATCACATTACTCTGACATGTATCAAAGCTTAATTTGAAATATCACTTTTATCAAATTTATGCAGGTATGTATTCCATACACATGATCATTCTCATATTCTTATTTACAACTATTTTCCTTTCAATACAGGCATGACAGGACTATTTATTATTTATATACCATTTTTTATTATACCCTTGATGGGTTCGTGGTAGCGTGATCGCCTCAAGTACCGAGGTAGAGAACTCGAACCCTGGCCGGTTCAAACCAAAGACTTTAAAATTGGTATTTGCTGCTTCTCTGCCAATCACACGGCATTAAAGAGTAAGAGCAAAGACTGGTCAGCACTGAGTCAGAATAATTTGTCCTGGTAAGGTGAAATGTCTCCCTGGTGAACTAGCACATTAAAAATCCAGCTCAGGTTGTCGATCTTGTACAAAGCAGGGTTCATATTAATATTACATCAACATATTCTCATCCTGAATATGCATATCTTGACCTTGTTGTAGGGTATGAATGATTCATTGAAGACCCTACATCGACTGTCAAGATGAAGAACGGGAATAAAAGCCCTGTTCATTGATAATTTTCTATGTCTTCTATGTATTGTGTGCAATTTTGTCCCATGTTCATTTACTCCATATCCTTTTATTTTCTATATTAATTTGTTGCTAAATTTTAAGCAGCCATCCATCATCATCATCATCATCATCATCATCATCACCAGTTTTGATCACTGAATAGCTTTATGTATAAACTGTTGCCACATCTAGAACAATCTATTTTTACATTTTTGTTTACAAGCTTTTTCCACCAGGACAGGATGAGTTATTATATATATATCCAAACAGGAAATGTCACTTTCCTCTGGATTGTGTCAGATATGATAGGTATAAATACACATGTTGTTGTGATATATTTACTCAAGAGTCAAGACTCAGTAGACATGTTAGAGGGGTAACGATTCACTAGGGGTAATATTTCTTTGAAATGCTAAAAAAATACTGTTGTTTTCCCCATGGTTGATTTTTGGAACGAAGAAGAGCAAGTTCATTTTAAACAATGTTTGACTAAAAGAAGGGCGAGAGGTAACCTAAGGGATATTCAAACTCCTAAGCGATTTTCATATTGATTTTGAAAAATATTTAAGATAATACAAAGAACAGAAAATCAGTTTCTTTTTTTTTTTATCTCAATTTCAAAGAATACAATTGATTCAAACATCTTAATTAATTGCAAACATTGATAAAATGTCTTCACAATTCAAATATATATACTGATGTATGTGACGATAAAATCCTTCCTGAGAGGGGCGTAAAGGGGTGGTATCTGCACGGAAGAACGCGAAACAAAATAGCCATTTCACGAAGAACGAACAATTAAAAATTTCTTACACGTTGATCTTTACCCATATCACGAAACATGGTAAATAACGAACCTTTTTCATGGCTGCACGTGAAATAAAAATGGCAAAACACGTTGCATGAAAATAACCCTTTACCACCCTCTTCCTGAAATATCCCAAAATGTAGTAAAATATTTGTAGTGTATCATTACACCTCTAACACACACTCTCAAGATATTGTTGTTGTTTGGTATCAATCACTATTTAAGAGCTGGTATTTTTTTACTAGTAATAGAATTTTATTTGTTTTAATTTGTATATTAGTTTTCCATTTGTGTTTTTAAGTAAAAGTATAAGAGTAGAATTTGTTAGTTGCAGAGTTGACACATTTTTTGCATTTAGTACTTTTTAGAATAATTTATTTGTTGCACTTTGTCATGTTTGTAATTAGTCATTCACCTTAAAAATGTAGATTATAGATACATGGTTTTAAAAAAAACTTACTGAGTTATATCTTGGTTTAAAGTTTTTTTTTCAAAACATTTATAAAATTTCTTGTCTTACACTTAAAAGAGTTTTATTTATAACCATGCAGCAATTTGTACATTTTTCATTTGATCTTACTGCCTAATAATCAAAATTGGTATGCATGAAAATAAATGAATTCACAGTATATAAAGCTGAATTATGCTTCTGAACAAGATTTGGTTGCTTTTGCAGTTATATTATCCTTAGCTAAAATGCGCTGTTTTCTATTTTTCAGCCCTATTGATGCTTATCAGCCAGATTCAACCAAATACCCAAATTTTGATAAAGCCCAGTACCTAGAGGTAACAGTTTCTGCTGGAGAAATGTTGATTATTCCGACTGGATGGTACCATCAGGTAAACTTCATGAGAAATATGATTTGAAGAATGAATTCATTTATTTAAGGTTGTTGGCTACTCTGTTTCAAAATAACAAGCATTTTGAAAAACTGCTATAAATTGATATATAAAACAGAACTATAAAAGCAGAAAAAATGCAAGTTCTGTGGACTTGTTTTTATACGACCGCAAAATTTATTGGTATCACGTCATCGTCATTGTATTCAGCGTCGTCCAAAGACATTTGGTTTCTGGACAATAACTTTAGTAAATGTAAATAGAAATCTATGAAATTTAAACACAAGGTTTATAACCACAATAGGAAGGTTGGGATTGATTTTGGGGGTTATAGTCCTAACAGTATAGGAATAAGGGGGCCAAAAAGGGGCCCAAATAAGCATTTTTCTAGTTTCCAGACAATAACTTGTGGAACAGTGTATGGATCTCTCTAAAATTACCCAACAAGTTTCAATACCACAAAGGGATGGTTAGGATTGGCTTTGGGGGCTTATGGCTCAAACCGTTTAGGAATTAGGGGCAAAAAAGGGGGAAAAACAAGGGTTTCCTGGTTAATGGACAATTCAAAAAAAGTACAATGTTATGTTTGGATTACCTCCCTTACACTGCTTTTAAATTATGTATAAAGAAATGTTGTATTGCCTTGAGGTGATTAGCTGTCAATTTATTTTCAGAAGTTAATATTTAAAAATGCTGATTAAGGAATATTAATTTTAGCCATGATTATGTATGTCATTTTCTATTTTAAGACTTTTTTGATGTATTTAAATGGGTAATTATGGTTGCAAACTCCATTGGAAATTTGAATTGAGATTATGACCATACCTTGAAGGAAAGAATTTTTTTTTTGGAAAAAGTGGGGGGGGGGGGGGGTTAAAAAGAAATTGTGAGGGGTTGACAATTTTTTCTCATTTCAGATTTCAGAAATTTCTTCAAATATTTAAAAAAAAAAAAAGGGGGGGGGGGGGGGGGTAAAACAAAAATTTATTGGGGGGGTCAATTCGCAACAGCATAGTGTATTGCACAAAAAAATGGGGAATAAATTTTTTTTTGTTTTTTTTTTAGGGGAGTCAATTCGCAACAGCAAAGTGTATTGTATTGCACAAAAGCAAAAAATTTAATATAATTCAAATCATATAAAAAATTCTAAGTTCTTTGACTGCAGTTATTCTGTGTCAGAAACCTATTATGTGTCAAATATTTAATTACAATACAAATTCAGACCTGTATCAAGCGCGAATATTGTGTCCATTTTTGCCCCAACTGTTCAAGGTTGGACCTCTGCGGTCATATCCAGCTGCGCTATAAGCCATTGTAAATTTGGTGGGAAATTATTCTCTTTAGATTTTTCATACATTTAACATTTGTACTTAGTTTCTTTCAAAAACTATGGAAAAATATGAAGGATTTTATAAGATTTTTGAAAATGGGTTTTTAAACTACATGTTTATATAATAAAATTATGAAAAAAATGGCACCACATGGATAAAAACAGAGGATTCTGAATATCTGACAAAAAGTCATAAACGAGGTAATTGAACATCCTTAATTAATTTTTTAATTATTACCAATCTGATTAAATGTAGATCCTGTGTCCAAGCTTTAATACAAGGATCTGACAAAACACTGTCCTACTTTCTGTTCTGATAAATTTTTATCAACCAATAAAATTCCAGCCTCTAATTGTTTGAAGGTATGGATCATTATAATTATAACAAAACCTGTGGATCCCAAAAAGTCATTAAAACAGAAAGTTAAATGGAATGTTTTGAGATCCTTGTAATCAAAGTGTGGACAACTATATTTTGTGTATAGAATGATTATTTTGTTGATTTTCCTTTAATTTCATATTATATCCATGTGTAACTACAACATATATATTTCCATGGTTACAGGCATTTAATGAAGTGGAGACTCTGGCCATATCTAGTCAGATCATGAACAGAAATAATTACCTTGCCGTGTTAGAGGAAATCATCAAGGGAGGGAACATCAATAGGAAGAAATTACCTGCTTATTTTAATACATTATTACCACCTGATCAGGTAAGGAAAGAAAATAACAAAGTAGAAAATCAAGGAAAATGATATGGACTTTCGAAGTATGATTGTGTAAGAAAGTTAGTAGATATAAGAAGATGTGGTATGAGTGCCAATGAGACAACTCTCCATCCAAGTCAAAATTTATAAAAGTAAACCATTAGGCATTAGGCATGATTAACCCTTTTTGGTAGAACCCTTGCTATGACGACAAACTGTAAACAAGTTATGCTGTTTCTCCTGAAATAGAAGTATGTAGGGTATTCCCTTTATCCAAATTTCATATTTTTTGTCTCACCTGAACAAAAAGTCGCAAAAGGCGAGTCATAGGTATTGCTTACAGGCATTGTCGTAGTTGGCGGTGTTAACAATATTTAAGTTAGTTTGATAGGAACTACTTGTGATAAATCAGTGATATTTAGTATACAGTTGTATAAGCATCTGCAGATATTTTGTATGCAGTTGTATAAGCATCTACAGATCTCATTTCCATGGAGACTATTTGGTCACGCCCTTAAGTCTTGGTCTATTGACTTTAAGACTTTTGCATAGTTTACATGTTAAAGTTTGTGATTAGGTCAGTTAAAGGGGAACCATTTATGATACATCATTGATATTTGGTATGCAGTTATATTAGCATTGGTATATCATTTTTCCAGGGAAATTATTTGTCCCAGTACTTTCAGTCATGGTTCATTGACTTTGGATATTGTGCATGTCAAAGTATTGCTGTTTTTATTTCAACATTTGCATTTTACTATCAAATTACATACAGGAGAGACATATCTCTGTGTCAACAGTTTATTCATGTATCCCATTGGTTATAAACTAGTGAATTCTTCAGCAGATTTTTTCATGAGTAACAGTTAACTACACTTCAGAAGGTATTGAATTACGTTCATTATTCTCTCATTACCAGTGGTTGTCAAGATTCACGATAAATCTTATGCATACTGTGGATTCTAGTACGGATCAAGCGTGTTCAGAAAGGAGGGGTTCTTCCCCAAGAATCCCCCCTGGATCCACCAATGAGTACAAAGGTTTGTATGCAGCCTTTCGCTAAACAACAAAATCAGATATCCATGAAAATGCAATTTTTCCTCAATCCACAAAAATTGGTACCCACGAAAATAAATGAATCAACAGTAGTACATGCTGACTTTCAAGTTACAGAGATGAATCTTTTTGGTCTTTAGTTGATTTCTGCATTTTTTAGTTTGACCTTGTGATTCAGTTTTTTTTATGCCCCTGCTGCAGCAGAGGGGGCATTAAGTTTTACCCTTGTCTGTACGTCTGTCAGTACATCCCAAAAAAAGTTTCTTTTCTCTAACTTTAGTTTGCCTCATCCAAACACATATTAAGTTCGAATTTGGGTGGTGTCACTTTCACTGCTCGAGTTATGTCCCTTTATAAATGGAAAATTGGCTAAATTTGCCTTTTCTGCACTAACTTTAGTTTGCCTCTACCAAATGTTATGAAACTTACACAGAATGCTAATTATTATCAAACACAGATCAAGTTCCAATTTGGGTGGAATGTCACGCACATCGTTCTGGAGAATTGTCCATTTATAAATGGAAAATCGCTGAATTTGTCTCGTATATAATTTTAAGCAGGGGCATCTGTGTCCCATGAACACATTCTTCTTTTATTTAATTTTAAATATATAATTTAAATTGGCTTCAAGTAGCACCATTTCTGTATTTATTTTTTGATATATAAGCAAAATCATCACTGTCACAGAGGGTCCAAGGACACAGTTATCGTCCTTTGGTTTTCGTTGTCTACGAATATAGTCCCTAGTGTGAACAGTGTATAACTTGCATTTTTTTTTGATACACTTTCCCAATTTATTTCTTGATATTTTATGCATGAAATATTAAGTAAGGGGATGAAATTACATGTTAAAAAAATTTGGGTGCTGAATCTTTATGTTAAGTAGTGATTTGGTCCAGTTAAAAAAGGTCAAAATTAGAATGTCTGAAGCTGTCAAACTGAATTTTAGCCCCCCTTAACACAGAATTGTCAATATTTTGAGTTAGAGCTGGTAGAAGTTTCTACAATTTTGATATTATTTGTATCAATAGTAGTACACTACACTGTAAAAATCTTTTTGAGATAGAGCAGGTGCGATTTTTTTAATTTGAATTTATTGTCTAAAAGAAATGCACTACGAAATAACTGTGTTCTTGGGCCTAAGAGATGAATTCCGTAAATGTAGATTCTGTACTTTGGCAACTTTCCTGAATGGTTTGCTGGTTTCAATTTGTCAAACTCAATAAAAGTAAAGGATTTACATCTTTGTTTGACAGAAATTCTGTTAAAATGTCCCATTTTGCCATTATACGGCTCAAATAAGCATTTTAAAGCAGTTTTCATTTTATGCCTAAGAGCCATGCTGACTTTCTATCTGACTGCTTTTTATGTTCCTGATATTTGTGTTTCTATGCTTAAATCAAATTTAATTAACTATTTGTGAACTCTGAATCTAAAGAAAATTAGATTATCACAGAAAAAATGTGCAGAATATTTGTATTTATGTCCCTGGTTAAACGGCTTGTTTGATGTATGTGAAATGTGAAGAGCTTTGTACATAAAATCTGTAGTCCATCACAAATATTTCATTAAATCTGTAAAAAAAAACACTTTAGAATGATCAGTACACCCTATTCATTTCATATGCTACCATAATTTTCTTCTTTAGGATAGTAAGTGGTTCAAATATATGCCAATTGAGACTAAAACTACATGCAAGTTTTCCATTGAAAAGTGAAAAACTGGTCATCAGACCATACTGTCTGCAAAAAAAAGTTGAATTCAAGAGTCCTTTTGCAATTAGACTTCTTGTATCATGACATCTCAGCATAGAAATGAGCAAAAAGTAACAAATTTCCATTTCTTATAGCCTCTGTGTGCATTTTAATATGTAAATATGGGCTACGGCCTAAATCGACTCTAAATAATTCTCAGTCTGACATGGCCCAAGACCATTTTATACTCATGTGGTATGCTTTTTGTAACTTTTCTTTACATTTAAAGTACATTTAATATATATGGAAGAATAATGTATGGTAAAAAAACTTCAAAAACTTCAACTTGGTTGAAAAAAATGCATGTTTATGTAAGGCTTCCCTTAATTCGAAAATCTCTATTTTCAGGCACAGGCTCATATAAATTTGACATTTGAATAGCTGTAATAGATCTGATAAATCAACTGAGTGTTCCGTTGCTTTTAATACTTATTACATTATATTCAAGAGTATTTAAAAAGCAAATTTTTGCAATATTTAACTTTTTTAGGCCAAAATCTTGACAGTTGAAAATATTTGATTTAAACGTCAAAAATAAACATCCAAATTTCAATATTAAAATGGCCCTAGTTTCTATAATATAGATTCTATGGCCATGAAACTTGGCCAACTATCTTATAATTTCCTAAGCTTAGGTCATGCAAAGTTTTATTAAAATTGGTCAAGTCTTTCTATCCTATTAGGTCCAAGGACACAGTTATCGTCCTTTGGTTTTTCGTTGTCTACGAATATAGTCCCTAGTGTGAACAGTGTATAACTTGCATTTTTTTTTGATACACTTTCCCAATTTATTTCTTGATATTTTATGCATGAAATATTAAGTAAGGGGATGAAATTACATGTTAAAAAAATTTGGGTGCTGAATCATTATGTTAAGTAGTGATTTGGTCCAGTTAAAAAAGGTCAAAATTAGAATGTCTGAAGCTGTCAAACTGAATTTTAGCCCCCCTTAACACAGAATTGTCAATATTTTAAGTTAGAGCTGGTAGAAGTTTCTATAATTTTGATATTATTTGTATCAATAGTAGTACACTACACTGTAAAAATCTTTTTGAGATAGAGCAGGTGCGATTTTTTTAATTTGAATTTATTGTCTAAAAGAAATGCACTACGAAATAACTGTGTTCTCGGGCCAGAGAGGCAAATTTCATTTTGGCAAAGTTTTATAAAAGTAAAATTTCATATATTGATTTCAATTTGTTAAAATTTAGGATGAAATGTAATTCAAATCATATTAAATTGAATTGTTTCATATTTTGCAGGTGAAGCTGTTTTTATCTCTCCTTCATAAGAAGATTTTAAAGAAAGGTAAAGAAGTTACAGAGGGTGTATTGAAAGACATGCATAGGAAGAAAGTATTGAACATTTGAGAATATGGATTTTGTTTTAAAATTACCATACTATTTAGAAATTTATAGTTTTCTAATTAAAAGTTAATAAATTATAATTAGTTATTGATGTCAGGAGCATTAATTCAGTGGTTGTCAATGGTTTGCTGTCTGTCATATTTGTTTTTCATTTATTGTTTTTACAGAAATCAGGCAGTTGGTTTTCTCTTTGGTATTGTTTTTACATTTTGTCTTGCTCATTGTTGAAGGCTGTACGGTGACCTATGGTTGTTTACATCCACATCATATTGTCTCTTGTGGATAGTTGTCTAATTGCAATCACTTCACGTTCGCCTTCGTTAACTTTTTCAAAGATCTTCTCTGAAAATACTGAGCAAAATTTCAATAAAACTTGGGATGAATGATCCTTATGAAATTTAATATACTATAATAGAGGTTGTGTTTTTCATTCCTGTCGGTCAACAAACATGACCACCAAGGCTAAAAGTAGAACATAGGGGTAAAATGACTTATTGTCTTTTGAATTATATCTTAAAATCTCAAGCAGTTAGAGCAAATCTGACTGACAAAAATGACGAACAGGTTAATATCTATTTACTGAGAAATTTTAAGACAAATCAAACAATCCATTCTGGAGTTATTGCCCCAAAAATAATATTTTTTATGAAATTTCTCAGTTTTGGTTGTTATCTTGAAAACTATTATAGATTTTAAACAGCAAAAATGTTCAGCCAAGTAAGATCTACCAATAAGTTTAAGTAGATATAAGAAGATGTGGTATGAGTGCCAATGAGACAACTCTCTCATCCAAGTGACAATTTGTAAAAGTAAACCATGATAGGTCCAAGTACAGCCTTCAACACAGAGCCTTGGTGTTGACTAAGGACTGAATTTGTCAATTGATCACTTACAGGAGTTACTGCCCTTGAAAGACTATAAAATTCTTAAGTTTCTTCAGAAACTATGCTAGATAATTTGAATGTAAAAAATGTTCAGCAAAGTAATACTTGCTTATAAGTCAACAATGACTGAAATAGTCAATTAAACCCTTGTAGGTGTTAGTAGCCTTGAAAGACAATTTTTAGTAAATTTTTCAATTTTTTGGCAGAAACTATAACAGAAACATCAAACAGCAAACATTTTCAGCAAAGTAGGTCCTACAAATAAATCAACATGACAGAAATTGTCATTGATCCCTTACAGGAGTTATTGCCCTTGAAAGACAATTTTTATGTGTTTTTTACAGAAACCAAGATTGAGAGAGGATAACTTTAAAGGCAATTTTTAACAGGCATTAATATACACTAAACAGCAAAATAGTTATTGATGCAAGATCTTCACAAAAAAAATCCCACATGAATTGAAAATGTAGAAAGTTAGTATCTTAGCCTTCAACATGTTCAACTCCTCAGTCCAACTGCAAAATGGACAAAAAAATCCTTATGTTTGTCTAATGTTGATTTTGAAGAAGAAAACAAATTAATTAAAATAGTTTAAATATTTAAGCTTGAAAGTTGACCAAGAACCTGCATTCAGGCCTGATCTTTGGTGTTGATGGGAAAACTATTGAGGGCTGTATATTCTGTTCATTATTTGTTTTTTTGGGTTGCCGTTTCATTGACAAATACTCTATATCAACTTTTATTCATATCTAGAACAACTCCGATGGCAACCAAAAATGAACTTGGTGCTCTGGTAAAGAAAGCAAACAGAGTTCTTAATTGGAATAAAATGTGTATTAATCCCATCTCGTTGCATGCTGACGGTTTTACTAAAAATCAATGTACCTCACTGTAACGGTCAGCAGTATATATCAATCAAAGGTCTTTTCTTTTCCTATTTATGACAGCAGAATGTCTATCCAGTGTTAGAAAAAAAAGATAACGTAAGTTTGGCTGTGTGGAATGTATAAATATGCAGCCACATCCAATCCAATCGGCAACATTAAATCCAATGTGTTTCTTTGTGTACAGAGTATATCACTCTCTCTTTGTGTTATAAAACCGTTGCAACAACTCAATGAGGGGTCCATAGGACACATGTTGCAAGGCAATATTTCTGCTCCCATCCAATACACCATTACTTTGCAATGGCAGTCTACATTACCAGTCATACATCTCAGTCCGACTTAAATGTACCTTTTGTTTTAATTATAATTTTTTTTCTCGTCCTGAAAATCCATGAAATATTTGCCACTGGACGTTAGGCACGCACCAATCAACGAACCAGTAGTTATTGTGATTTTTTATGTGACATGTCCATGTTGTATCATTTGTATTTTGTCTTACTTTTGGAATGTTCATGTCCACCTGTAGCTTCAGTTTCATTCAAGGCGGCAAAATCAGAAATAGGTGTTACACTACTGTCTCAAGTAAAGGTTGGTGTCTGTTAAAACGTTTAAACCTGCTGTATTTGTTTGCACCTGTCCTAAGTCAAGGGCATGTTGTTCAGTGGTTGTCGTTTGTTGATGTGGTTAAAAGGTGTTTCTAGTTTTTCATATAGATTAGAGTGTTGGTTTTCCTGTTTGGGGTCATTTTGGGGCCCCTTGTAGCTTGCTGTTCAGTGTGAGCCAAAGCTCCGTATTGAAGGCTGTACTTTGACCTATAATTGTTTACTTTTTATACATTGTGACTTGGATAGAGAGTTGTCTCATTGGCAATCATACCACATCTTCTTATTTATATTAGAAACAAGATTTGCAGAAGAAATTGAACTTTAAAAGTATAAAGATGTACTTAAACAATTGGTGAAAATGATTACAATTAACTAGACAAGAAGGTGAAAAATGTTATTGAACCATAAACAAAAAAAAAGGCGAAAGATACCAAAGGGACATTCAAACTCAAAAATAAACTGATGACGCCAGAAAAAGACAAAGCACAATAAACACAACATAGAAAACTAAAGACTGAGCAACAAAAACCCCACCAAAAACTGGGGTCATCTCAGGTGCTCTAGAAGGGTTAGCAGATCCTGCTCCATAATGTTATACAAATATAATATTGCCATTTTGTATAATATCTCAGACATCTCATGGGAAAATATTTATAAGTAATTTGCATGAAAACAATTGAATAAAACATCCAGCGGCACTTAATTACAGGACGATCTTAAAATTCGGTTCATTATATGAGGGTCTGGATGGTGTTTAAAGAATAAAGAAATAATGGGCAAACGGTGCAGAAAAGTGGCAAAAAAAAGGATAGAGAAAATAGGCAAAAATAAATGGAGAATGTGTCACCATGGACACAGATGATGCCTCCGCTTGCATACAACATTATAAAGGGACATAACTCAAGAACAATAAAAGTGACGCTACCCAAATTTGTACTTGATCTGAGTTTTGTGGTAATAAGTATTGTGTAAAGGTTTCATAATGTTTGGTTGGGGCAAACTTAAGTTACAGAACGGAAACTAAAACTTTTGCAATTTTTCGATTTATATAGGGGCATAACTTGATAATGATTAAAGTGACGCCACCAAAATTCGTGTGAAGATTAAATATAAATTAAGAAGATGTGGTATGATTGCCAATGAGACAACTCCCCACAAGAGACCAAATGACACAGAAATTAACAACTATAGGTCACTGTACAGCCTTCAACAATGAGCAAAGCCCATACCACATAGTCAGCTATAAAAGGCCCTGAAATGACAAATGTAAAACAAGAAAACTAACGGTCTAATTTATGTACAAAATAATGAACGAAAAATAAATATGTTACACAGCAACAAACGACAACCATTGAATTACAGGCTCCTGACTTGGGTCAGGCACATACAGAATGTGGTGGGGTTAAACTCGTTTGAAGGCGCCAACCCTCCCTTAACCTGGGACAGCATGTATACAAAAGACTCATTTCTGAATCAGAGATATCTACATAATTATGGTCATCTGTAAGAAAAACGTATCGAAGATCTTAGGGATGTTATTTGTAATGCTATAATAATATGTTTTACGTATAATTAAGGAATGACTGTATTGTTTTTTTTCCATGAAGAAATAACATTAAAAATGTGTTGCACACTTAATAACCCGTGCAGCAGGTTATTTAAAAGTGTGCACTACATTTTTGATGTTATTTCCAATAGACAGAAAAAATATTACACTCATTCCTTATGATTTAATTGTGAATTCCATTTTTAAGGAGTGAATCATGAAAAAACATTGCTGACGTCACGATCACATGAGCTGATTGACAAAAAACATTCAGCCAATCAGAAGATGTGTCGCATCCAAAATCAAATTATTCATAAATATTATAAGTGTCAGACCTCTCATAATACAAGACAGTGGCCCATATGTTCCGTTTTTATAATATTTGTAATTTACAAATCTGTATAGATATAAACATTTAAATCCAATGGTCCTGCTTTAAATGTTCTGCTAATCTACATTATATTATCATAATTTTGTATCTGTGTCAAGTGCTGGCTTTTCAATAATAATCTCTTCGCGATCCTTCGCCCATTCCTGAATCTCACCTCTTGAGAAAAATCCAAATACCACCATTCCAACTACACAGAAAGCAGCACAAACATAAAACACGTTTCTCCACTCTTCTTGACTATCCTTCATTTGATGAAAATAATTTACATAAATTAACATAAATTAATAAAAGTTGATAATTATACAAACAATCAACATAATATTTGAAAATTATTTCACCATTAGTTTTATCATCGTGGCTTAAAATGTGATTGAAGAATCTTATTTAGAAAAGATAAAAAGTGGAACTTTAATCATGTAATAAAAAAGGTAGCCATAGGACATGGACAATTCCAAATAAATTAGGCAGTGGCTACTTTGCCGGCACCAGCAAAATAAAAAAATATATGCTATTTTGCCGGCTCTGATTAAAATATCTTAATTCAAGCCGGCAAAATATCATATTTCAATAGAAATGGCCATTTTACCGGCACCAGCAATATAGTGAATTTGTTATTTTGCCGGTTCTTTGTAAAGAGTGAAATTTAATATTTACTTTTATAAAGTAAGTACTACGAAAATGTGCACTGTCAGCATATAAGAATCAAATAATTACTGATATACCGGTAGTTAAATAAGAAAGCAGCTAACAATATTTGAGATGCATATAATCGTTTAAAACAATTATCAGTCAAAGTGAAAATAAGAAATAAAAATATTGAGCATCTATTTGTTGCAATGAAAGAATATCAAATCATGTAGTTGAAATTATTTCTAAAATCAGTCACAGTATAATGTTATGTATGCATAAGAATAAATTCTCAGATTTTTTAACTGTATGTTATAAAAAAATTAAAGTTAAAATATCATTGCATCATAAATTTGATATAACATTATACAATAAAACAAAATCAATCACATAGCTTTAAAAATCAAAAATATTTAGATTTAATTTGCTTTTGAAATAATTAAGATATTTCAATCAGAGCCGGTAAAATAGCATAAAATTATTTTCTATTTTGCCGGTGTCAGCAAAATATAGCCACTGCCGATAAATTAACCATTTAAACACTATCTGAAGCTTTTATGTAACACGGGCTATCGTACTACGTTTCACATGTATGCTTAAAAAGCTAGGTGGACTTACTATATAATGATTGGTTGAGATAAGAGCAGCCGGTATAGGTAGCTATTTCAAGCTAGAAGTATAGGGGAGGGTTGAGATCTCACAAAACATGTTTAACCCTTCACATGTTTATGTGCTTGTCCCAAGTCAGGAACCTCTGGTCATTCTAAGTCTTGTATGTTTTTTATTTTGGTTCATATATATGTTTCGTAGTTTAGTGTGACGTCCATGTTACTAAACTAGTATACATTATTGTCAAAGGGCCAGCTGAAGCCCACCTCCGGGTCCGGGATTTTCTCGCATGAGTGGCTGTAGGCTGTTTTCTGCTCTTTGGTCGGTTTGTTGTCTCTTTTGACACATTTCCAGTTTCCATTCTCAATTTAATTACTAACATATTTTTGTTTATACAAAGCCATTGTATATTACACAACTGTGACATGTGTATGTTTTTACTAAGCCATATTGTACATTACACGAGCATGTGTATGTCTAAATTAAGCCATTGTACTTTACACGAACATGTGTATGTTTTTACTAAGTCAATTGTACATTACACGAACATGTTTATGTCTAAACTAAGCCATTGTACATTACACGAACATGTTTATGTCTATACATATACTAAGACATTGCACATTACACGAACATGTGTCTTTTTTATTTAGGTGTTGGGTGCTGTAAGTGGGGTGTCCATTTTGTTTTGTGCGGGATGTATACATTCGCAGTCGCGTCCTGTAAGAATGGGGACGTTAAATCCGATGCCTCGTAGAGTGAGTGCAACGCTCTCTGCACGTTTAGAACCATTGCAAAATCTCTTCGAGGGGTCTGAAGGTGGCATGGGGATGCATGCATTTACTCTCCTCCCATGTACGTAATACAACATCAATATTATTGTGAACTGTAAATTTAGCACTGTAAGGTCTGGTACTTACGTTTGGTGTTAAGGCTCCGGCTACTATAGGCGCCACCATACCAGGCACAGTGGCAAAAGTATTAGTTATGCCAAATAAAACACCAGCATATCTAGTAAAAATAATAAAGTAACTCGAAAATGAAAGCTATTACTAGTGAAGTTATATAAATTTTATATAAAAAACCAAATTCCGATCGTGAAAATTTTACAAAATATTGCGATTGACAATAAACACGTGATTATCAGGACTTACATACTAGTATTCAATTTTAATTATGTAAAAATCAATGGGGTTTTACTAAAAAGTTTATTTTTATGTAGTACATTGTTTTATTATTGAAACCAGTTGTTCATGCACTTTCAAACCAAACACAGAAAAAGCGCAAACTTTACAAATAAAGCTTGCACTGGTGAGATTAAAAAACAATTTAAATTTTGGAACTGGTATATTAACATAAAATGGTGAGGGAAAGTACATAAGCACTGATTTCTGTGTGGATGCATGTATGAAACCGTAAGTTTCAAAAAGTTTTCTTTTTGCAAGAGGTATTGACTGCAAGTGTAAATAATAAAAAAAACAACAAAAAAAAACAACAACAAAAAATGACACCGAATCAGTTAAAAGGTGATTTAGTAATATTTTTTATCAAGAAAATAAAATTGACGCAAGCAATCATAAACCCACAAAAGAACTTTTAATGGTTAAAGGAAATCTATCAATTGCTAAAATAAATTTAAATATTAACCGTATGGCAGTGAATGAGAATAAGTAGAAAGACATGTGTGGTATACGCCAATTAGACAGATATTTAACAACATGAAAATACCAAATGACATCTGGTATTCTGTTATTTATAACCACTTATTTGCAACTTACTTTGGACCGAAGTCCACGTGGTTAACGATGTATCCTGCTCTGTTAAATCCGGTAAACATAACAGCTAACGATAGAAATGCAACTGCCATATTGCGCTGATCACATGACGCGAATCCAGTGGCAACTAAAAAGGCACCAGCTCCAAGAAACGCTGTAAAACATATATTCACATAATATTGAATAAGGAGATGTGGTATGATTGTAAATGAGACAAATATCCAACAAAGTACAAATGACGTATATTTAAACAACTATATGCCACCGTATGATACGCCTTCAACAATGAGCAAAACCCATACCATATAGTCAGCTATAAAAGGCCACGACAAAACAAAATGTGAAACACTTCAAACGAAAAAAACATAAGGCTTGGTAAATAACAATACAATTATAAGTAAATATAACAGACAGCAACCAACTACATTTACAACCACTGAATTACAGGACTATTTCATTATAAAATAAAGAGAAGCAAACAAAGAACAAACTATAAGCCATTGTGGTACCGCTTAAGTTGAGAAAATATACTAAAATATCTCAAACCTATACAATAACGATGTTTTTTGTTTGTTTTTGTTAAACCTTAATTGATTAAGTGCAGTATTTACTTTCCTTTAATTCCGTTAATCAGTTAATGAGTGTTTGGATGTGGTCCCTCAATTTTGTATACTTAATTATTACAGCTATTTTTCTGTATTTGTGCCCATTATTCTTTATTCTTCATATATTAACACCCCAGTAGTCTCTATTCTTTATACATATTATATTATTGGCCTATTTTTTCCCTATTCTTTATTTTTTTGGCACATTATTCTCTATTCTTTAAAACCCACACAGGCCATCATTAATGTAGAGTAGCTTGTTAAATTGTAGACTCGAGGCTTGAAATATAAAGTAAAATTCTGATTTCAAACTATTATATCTTAATGTATATTACCTATGCTGCACCATAAGCGTCTTGTCCCTGTAGTTGATAATAATTGTTTAGATCGCATAAGATCTGCAAATAGTCCTACCCCTAATCCTGACACAGCTTGACATACATATGGTAAAGCAGACAAAACTCCATTCTATATTAATTTAATAAAAAAAAATGTAATTGACCGAGTCATCAACTTCTAAATTGTAAAGTGTCGAAAAAAGGAGCCATTGCACAAAAAGTCAAATTTGACTTATTTTGACATCGGATCACACATTTACAACCAAGAATTACTTGAAGTTCAGCTTTACTAACAGAAATGAAGACTGAAATACCTATGGACAATCACAAACCTAAATCGGGGAAAGATCTGTAACACTTTAGTCTTTTTTCGCGTTACTTTTGCTACCGAACAGTATGAATGAATATAAAAAAATAAAGCAAAAAACTCTCAAAATGTTCCGTTTATTGACTGCCAAAGCCCTAACTGATTCGTTTGAAAACTGTCATCATAATTTAGCTGACCATTACGGAATGTTTGTTTAATAGACAACACAGATGTTGACACACAATGCGCATGTGTAACACACTCAGTTGTTGTTTATTAAACGTCGATGAATTCAAAATTTTTATCTAAATATTACTTTCCTCGATTGATCTCGATTGTGAAATCGTCGATTGCAACCTGTAATCGGATTTTAAATTCCATACGCAACATGACTGGTGGCACCAGCGGAGCAAGATAACCTGTCCGTTCAAAAACACATAAGCTCCCCATAGTTTCAGTGGATTTCATTTTGCTTAATTTCGAGTTTCTTTATAATGTTTTGTGGTTTATTTGTCTTTTACGCCATTATTTTTTTGCAACAGTGTTTTATCAACTTATATATTTTGATTGCCTCTTTGGTTCTTCTCGCCTTTTTTAAGAACAAATAAAGATTAGAACTGTTACATAACAATAGATTAATGATTACCCATAACCGACGAAAATTTGATTCCATATATAAATGTCAAAAACTTACACTTTTGATGTTAAACTTCAGGACTGCTTTCATGAATGCAGGTAAACTGGTTAAAAGAGTATAATTTATCCAGTTATTACAGACATGCGCAGTTATACAAGCTATTACAGCTGGTGATTTGGCTATTTCAATCCATGGAACTGTTGATGACTAGAATAAACGCATTGTAAATTCACAGTTAAACACAATAAATGACATCAGGACACGACATAGAAGTTCATAAACTAACTATTGTTTCTTATGTTGGACTGTTCCTCCACTGTCACAGGTTAGAGGTGGGTTGGGCGCCCGCAAACATGTTTAACCCCGCCACATTCTGAATGTGTCTGTCCCAAGACAGGAGAATGTTATTCAGAGAATGTCGTGTGTTGCTGTATATTATATTTGTTATTCGTTTTTTACATAAATCAGTCCGTTAGTTTTCTCGTTTAAAATGTTTTACATTTGTCAAATTTGGGGCCTTTTCTAGATTGCTATGCAGTATGGGTTTTGCTCATTGTTGAAGGCCATACGATGACATATAGTTGCTCACTTCTATGTCATTTGGTCTTTGGTGGAGAGTTGTCTTAATGAAAATCATACCACATAATACCGATTTATATATCTATAAAGTTATTTTATGAAGATTCGTTACTAATGCTTTCAACTTTTCTTTATTGCATTGTAACCCCAAGCTTTACCATATGTTATGAGAGTGTGGGTGGGGGTTTACTGAATAGAAAATAATGGGCAAAAAAAATTATAAAGAATAGAGAAAAATGAACCAAAAACAAAAATAAGGAATAGAGAATACTGAGGTGTTAAAATATAAACAATAGAGAATAATGGGCTAAAAGTATAAAGTATAGAGAAAAATGGCCTAAAAATAAAGAATACAGAAATGAAGGACCCCCCTCCAGAACCTCCTTTACCATAGGCTATGCATGCAAGTTTTCAAGTAAATCATCCAATCTTCCGTTTTACATAATAATAACATTTGGTTTCGCTAATATGTGCTCAATCGCAATAAGACTAATACCGTGATTCTCTACTGAATCTTTACGATGTCTATATATTTGTTACTTAAAACCGACTAGGTCTGAGTGACACTTCTGAAACGGGTTTCATGTGGCTCAGCCAATCTGAATTTTTCTTTGTAATCCTTCGTCTATATGTCTTCTACTTTTAGGTCATATTGTTTTATGCGCTTCTTCGTCATATGCTATTGATTTCAAGTTTTAAAGTTACCCTTTTTGTGTTGTCATATTCTATACTGTTATTTATATAGTCTCGTTCTGCTTCACTGATCCAGGGATGGTCTGATGGAGTATCGCGGACAAGAAAAAACCACGCAACCACCCATATACAGGCTAAACCACCTGTAATTGAAAAATATACAACCAAAACCAAACACGCTATCACCAGTTTGACTCTCATGTAGAATCTTTGAAAAGATCTAATTCTGCATTTAATAAGCAAATCAGCAAGTTTCGCAAAATTATAAAAAATAAAATATGAAAATGAAAGAGGGCACATACTAACTTCTAGACTTCTGTGGATTCATTTATGTTCGTGGATACCAATTTTGTGGACTGAGGAAAAATTGTATTTTCGTGGATATTTGATTTCGTGGTTTAGCCAAAGTCTGCATTGTCTCTTTGACACATTACCCATTTCCATTCTCAATTTTATACAAATCTATATAGAAGATGTGTACTCCATTGAAAACATGAATTCGTGGTTAACCTGTATCCACGAAATTCACGAAAATTTGTATCCCACGAATAATAATGAATACACAGTATAAGATTATAAAAATGGGTTTTTGTTTAGTCTACTACTACGCCAATGATCGAATGGGTCGACATTATCTTAAAGCTTCATTTGCCTTAACATATTCGAGCAACATACTTTTTTTGTTGTTGTTGTTAGTGTTGCTACCATGATAGTGTGTACATAGTAAGAACCTCCGCGAGGTAAATGCAGTATTTCCGAGGATAAATTGCAGTATAGTTGAACTACATCAATCTTGAACAAATAGAATTTTCCACGCGAAATTGATTTTCGGCGAGTATTGATTTTATTTTTCTAAAAGGTGTATTAAGAACTAGCACGAATTTAGATCTGCGCTGTCTGAAAAAAAATTACCGCAAAAAAAAGAACCTTATAGCTTTAATAAGCCGACCATTTATTTAAAAATAATTAACTCATCGAAGGCAATGCATTATTCAAAATCGCTGAAAACTATTGTACATACCAGTAATATAAAATATAGAACCCCATCCATTATCAAAGCCAAATTCACATAAATACCCGGATGATGCAAATGTTCCTACGTTACCAAACATGGTTCCTGCAAGTTGCACAATTAAGAATAGTATAAATACATTAGAAAAAAGTAAAATAATAGAAATACCGAACTCAAAGGAAAATTCAAAAACGGAACGTCCCTTATCAAATGGCAAAATAAAAAGTTCAAACACATCAAACGCATGGAAAACAACTGTCATATATCCTAACTTGGTACAGGCATTTCCTTATGTAGGAAATGGTGGATTAAACCTGGTTTTATAGCTAGCTGAACCTCTCTCTTTTATGACAGTCGCATAGCATTAAATTGAAAACAATATATATTAAGCATAACTGATAATGGTGAACATAACACTAAATCCCTGGGATGTGTTTTAGTTGATTTTAGTCTCTGATGCATGATTTTTTATTATTAATTGTTTTTGGCTTTTAACTAGCTTTCAGTAACTGAGAGTACTCTCAAATCGTACTTTCGTGTTGACTTTACCTGTTGATACAATTTGTAATGTATTTTTGTTATTTAATGTTTACTTATTCAGTGTTATATCTAGTCACTATTTTAATGGTCACCTTTGGTAAATGTTTAGTATGACGATAAATTTTCACTTTTGTTCTCGTACTAGGTAGGAACAACTAAATTTATGTATTTTGTAAAAATTATTTCCGTACTGCATGTATACCTTACAACAAAATTATTTTCATTTAGCTGTTTACGTTATTTTATTTGGCGGCATTTTGTCCAAGGTTATGGTTGTCTTTTTGATATTGTTTTACATCTAACCCCCTTGTTTTATTTATTTTGTATTTACATTGTGTCATAGATCAAATTTATTCGTTCAGTGTATGTTAACTTGTTTTTGTTAATATGTCTTTTGATTGAGTTAAGCCATTTCAATTGATATTTTTTATTGTGTCTTTCTATGCTGTGATGTTACATTATTGTTTCAGGTAGGGTGAATGTTGGCGCCTATTAAAACGTTTAAACCCGCTGCATTTGTTTGCACCTGTCCTAAGTCAGGAACCTGATGTTCAATGGTTGTCGTTTGTTCATGTGGTTCATAAGTGTTCCTCGTTTCTCGTTTTTGATATAGATTAGACCATTGGTTTTCCTGTTTGAACGGTTTTACACTAGTCATTTTTGGGGCCCTTTATAGCTTGCTGTTCGGTGTGAACCAACGCTCCGTGTTGAAGGCCGTACTCTTTGACCTATAATGGTTTACTTTTAAAAAAAATGTGACTTGGATGGAGAGTTGTCTCATTGTACTCATACCACATCTTCTTATATCTAATAACTCTGCGATAAATTCGTTATATTTACCTCGGTCAGTTTCAGAAATAAAACGTTTTCCAAGAAAACTTTCGGCAAAAGCGACAAAAAGCAAGTATAGTGAAATAGTATTTATGTGTGATATAAAATTCAGCTTTCACGACACGTGATTAAGATTGTGGTATACTGATACTAGATTGTACGAAGTAGAAAGAAATACCATAACATTGAGAATGGAAATGGGGAATGTGTCAAAGAGACAACAACCCGACAATAGAGCAGACAACAGCCGAAGGCCACCAATGGGTCTTCAATGTAGCGAGAAACTCCCGCACCCGGAGGCGTCCTTCAGCTGGCCCCTAAACAAATATGTATACTAGTTCAGTGATAATGGACGTCATACTTAACTCCAAATTATACACAAGAAACTAAAATTAAAAAAGATACAAGACTAACAAAGGCCAGAGGCTCCTAAATTGGGACAGGCGCAAAAATGCGGCGGGGTTAAACATGTTTTTTGAGATCTCAACCCTCCCCCTATACCTCTAGCCAATGTAGAAAAAATAAACGTACAACAGTACGCACAGTAAAACTCAGTTTAAGAGAAGTCCGAGTCCGATGTCAGAATAAGAAACAAAAGAAAATAAACAAAATGACAATAATACATAGATAACAACAGACTACTAGCAGTTACTGACATGCCAGCTCCAGACCTCAATTAAACTGATTGAAAGATTATGTCTTCATCATATGAATATCAGGCACAATTATCCCTCCTGTTAGGGGTTTAGTATTATACCATCATAAAATATATGAGAAGAACATAACCCGTGTCATGTACACAAGCTATTTGAAAAGTAAGAAATTTTCATAGGCCGATGCGGGTCTCCGAAGCAGGGTCAATTTTTTTTGTCCTCCTTCTACCTCGGTAAGAAAACATAAATCGACTCCAGTTCCTAAAATACAAGAAGATTGATTTTTAACATAGTTTAAAGCTAGTATGAATAGTGAGTGTTCTTTACTAACCTAAATAAGAGACAGTGACGAGTTTGCTACGTTCTAAAGGAGGAGCCCATCGTCCCCACATGGACTGCATTGCTGGGAAAGAAACTCCCTGGAAAAAAGATAAAATATTTTGATACGATAATGAGGTATCTAGCAACAATACAGATTTTATTATGTTACCTAACTGCATGTTATTAGAATTCCTATCTCCTTCTTTGAGAAAACGACATATTTAAAAACAGAATCTTTTATCACGTGGATTCAGTTGCTGAAAAAAACTGTTTAACACCAACAGTTTGTAAAAGACAGGCGGAAGATACTAAAGATATAATCTAACTCATAAGTCGAAAACGAACTGACAATGCCATGGCAAAAAACGAAAAACGACCAAAAGACAAACATCAGTCTACAAAGCAATACGTAGAAAACTAAAAACTGAGCAACGCGTTCCTCACCAAAAACAGGATTGAGCTCAGGTGCTCCAGATGTGAATGTAGCATGTGAAGTGTAAGAAAGAGGCGTCAAATACCAAAGAGACATTCAAACTATTCGAATTCTAATCATACAAAATATATGCACTGATATAGTTGCTTAAATCCGATTCATTTGACTCTGTTAGGTAGTTGTTAAATTGGCAATCATACCACATCTCCTTATTTAGTTTATCGTGTTTGTCGGGAACTTTTGTCAGTGTTGTCTTTAGATACATCTGAATGTTTTGTCCTTTTGGGAAAAAGTGTTGATGGCATTTCTTTGATTATCTCTGTAGAATCATTTGTTTTCGGTCCTATCGATTAAGAGCTGAACCTATTGATTTAAAGGGAAAATTCGCGATTTTTTACTTTTCATCTTATTATGTTCATAATACCATAAAAACATATTTACCAAGTTTTATCTGGATATGAACACTAATAAAGAAGAAAATTGGGAATTAATAATTTAATTTATTCCAACTTCCTGACTTATGTGACGTAGTTTAAGTCTTTTTGCATGCCGGGAGTGAATAAATCTCGTTGTAAGTCTTGTTCGTTAATCATCTAATAACGCGATTTAAAGCGCATCGACGACTTTTGGCGTAGCTATTAACCAACTAATAATTAAGAAAGTAAAGTGATCCGCCGTGCAACTTTCAAAATTAAAATGTACAATTTATATTTAAAGGATTTCTGATATGATTATAGTAATAAAAGTAAATCATACAATAGAATATATTTTCATGAATTTTTTTTCCGACGGATATTTTGAACAAACATATATAACTGATATTGTTTTACAAATGCATGTTTGTATTCTCACCTTCTTTTACTTCAGTCTAATTTTTCGTTTGGGCTTGTTTTATATTTGCCTTCGGGTTTATATGATCCGTGTATTGTACTGTGACACTAAGTGACCACCTGTTGAATGCGTGGTTAATTCAAGGTAATTAAAAGATTAGCATTCTGTAATTCTATTCTTTTGATCTTCACTCAGTGAATTTTAGCCAACACGGTTCACCGTTACAGGTGTGAACAACATTTCGTATGAATGATAAAAACATTAATTATTTGGGGAGGAATATGGTGGCAAAATACCTGAATCGCCGTTATATACATGTATATCTTTTATATTTTGCGTAAGCTTTATTTTAAAATAGATAGGTGAGTATTTTGTTGTAACATCGAAATTCTGAATTACTTTCAATTAAATAATTTTACAAATAAAAATGGCCCACGAAAACGAGCGTATAAACCAAACACTGTACTTACTTTTTCAAATTATCATGGGTATTAACCGTGAATGTTTCAATGTTTAGAGAAAATTATCGCGGTTACATGATTAATATAGCTTGGTCCGTCCACAGCTATCTACATTTACCTAATCGGTAATGCCATTATTAAAATATTTAAAATCTCACAACGTATACATACTTAAGCTATTTGACCAACGATGTTTAAAAAAAATAACAGAATCAATCTAACGTCAACTTTCCTTTTTTGAATGGAGACAGACCGGAGGAATCAATTTTCAATGTGCTTTATATCTTGTACATTTACAAGACTTATTATTCATTCATAAACCCACTTTATACCAGAGACATATATGTCAGTCTTAACTGACAAGAATACACCTAAAGTGGACAAGCAATATTTTCTTTAAGTTTCTGTGATTTAATACTAAGAAAGAAAAAAATCCCGAAATTAATTTGATACTTTGATACTCAATATTTTTCCTGGAAAATATTCATATCCTCGTTTGGTCTGAAAATAAGATAAGAATTTGGTATACAGAACATGCAGAAGTGTGGATGTCATAAAACCTTGTTATATCAGAAACCATTATAAATGTGAACCTGTATACGTAAGACCTCATGGGACGTCACCTAACCACATTTACAAGTAGCTAGCTGTTATACCCGGAAATGTCAAGGTAAATCACTACCGATACGATTGTACCAATGCATGATGATTGTGAAGCATGACCATTCATGATTTTAGAGGAGTCTTAGGTAGAAATTGCCGGTACGATTTAAATTCTGACTATATTTTTTTCTCTCAATTTAAATCACTGAACTTAAAAAAAAAAGAAACATACGCCCAAGATCAGAATTCTTCATGTAAATTCATAAATACAACGTTCTTATTTTGTAACTTTCGATATACTTCACCCCCAACCACGGCCCCCATTCCAACCTGGGAACAGTATATCTAACATTACAATGTTTGTGTACCTGCTCAAATAAAAAAAAAAAAGATGAAAAAAGAAAAAGAAGAACGGTAAGTCACATCAGATTCAAATATTTAAATGGTTGATTGTCGTTAACTAGAGATGTAAAGTTACATGTCTCTGCGGTAACTTATAAGAATGACAGGAAAGTATATACTTGAAATAGATTTATGATGAATAATATGCAACTGCAGCACCCCTTTTTATCAAAGTGTACATGCATGTATTTTAATGACTGTCCGTTATTTCGATTAAGAATGACAATTGTACGTGAAATTCTATAGTTGCCAGTGAGACTTTTTTTTACCAGATATGCGACTTTTCGTATTTATATTTTCTCTTATATTACTCTCATTTAATATTTTATGCATAAGTGCAATATTAGGAATGGTTTATCCCCCCTCCCTTTTAAGCTAACTAAATAAATTAATCAACCTTCTAGCTGACCAGACGTTAACACATCTACTATCAGTCAATTCGGAGTGAAGTTTCTTTATTTCTTCAAATAAGCTTTTTGGGGATCATTAGTGTACGTCCAGTGGCATATATATTACATGCATGTCGGAACAGGAAAAATGACATGAGGTATAATAGAACCATGTTCACATTATTACATTATTATATATAATACACAACCATTGAGATGATGACGACTTTCTTAAACTGTTCAAAATAATCTTATGGAAATAAAAATCTGTGATTTTACTATGTGCATAACTTTGATGAACCAAAGCAAGTTAGATATAAATAAAATAAATAAAATAAATAAAATAAATAAAATAAAATAAAATAAAATAAAATAAAATAAAATAAAATAAAATAAAATAAAATAAAATAAAATAAATTAAAATAAATAAAATAAATAAAATAAATAAAATAAATAAATAAAAAAAATAAAAAAAATAAATAAAATAAATAAATAATTATTTTATTATAGTGTCACATATTTGATCAAACAATATATATATATACAACAATTCATAATAAAAACAGAGATCAAATATCCAGCCTTAGAATAGACTTATGAGACACTTAGATATCGACCTGTATTTAAATCAGATTGGTTTTGGATGTTTCTCTCGTATATTCAATATACATGTATATATTCTAAATTGCGACTATCTATAGTTCCGTAACCTTCTATCTAGGCGTATAATCCAATGATCGACAAGTGCGTACATTTTGTTAAATCAATATTTGTACGTTTCAAAATGTCCATAACTATTGACAACGAGTAATTACTTACATTTTCCCCAATTTACGTTTGGAAAATATGTAAATATATTTTTATTTTATCAAATCTTTTTTTGGAATTATTTAGATTTTCATAAATGTTCTTCTACACCATAAATGTTATTTATAAACAAGCGTATGAGTTTAGTCATATATATAATGGCTATTATATCTATGGTTTAGTAAAGACTAGCATATCACTATCGGACACGCAAGACAAAGATGTATATTCACCTGATAGTTTCAAAATGGAAAGTTACAAGTTATCGGCCGTGTACACTTCTCAATACCCTCAGAGGTGAAGTGATGCACGAACTTGCTTTATGTAATTGTGTAATAAGAGTTTTCAAGCCCGAAAGGAAATCGCTTGAATACCTGGACGTGTCAACTCACAATACCCCTGGGAACAATTCCTTTAGCAATGCTGGTGATCAGATAAGGGAAGGTCCGAATTTATTTAAATAAGATTATTACATAAATGAATTATGAACACACTAGATTTTCGAAAACATTTTTACACGGAACACTTAATTTATCACTTTGAACTTTTTAACTAATTTCCATTAACATTTCTTGTTTCAAAAACTTAGTAAAAAAAAAAAACAGTTTCAAAACGACAGACCATAGTACTAGTTTTTCAAAAAAAAAATTATATATAATTACATTTTCCGTATCAAGTTAGTTAGGAAAGGTTGCATGCACAACCATGTCTATTATAATCTTTTTTTGTGACCCGGGAAACTGTTTAGGCTTTCCTTGTCGGGTAAAACAACCGTACGCTTGACAAGATATCGACACTCAATTACGGCTACATTAGGTTACTGCTTGTTTTGGTCCTTTGTGGTTTATAGATATATCGTGGTTTCTATTCAGGGATGATGTCAAAATGGCCGCACGCGGAGAAGTGATACTCTAAATTTAAAATCGATGGTGATCTCTTATCTAGCAGAATTAAACTTTAATATTTATGAATTCGTGGTTTTTTATACATAATCAACATAATATCAATTTTTCATTTTTTTGCGAAGTTTCCCTTTAAAGACACCTGTCAATGGTTTACATTTGAACGTTGACCTTTGGATGTCTTTTTTGTGTTTGTTTTTTTTTTTTGGTCGGTATTATGCTATCTCTTGTCCATACTAGTTTTCAGTAGGATGTGTAATGATGAATCTGTATTCATTTGGAAAAGATAAATGTAAATGGGCTATTCGTCTTTTTATTTTACCTTGATGTCCTGCTAGTTAGTATTTTCTATTTCTCTATAATATAGGATATCTTTTTTATTATGGAAAAGAAAGAATGAGTTGTACTAATTCATGACAAGTTATAACTAAGCGTACACGAAAGCGACAAAAGCAAAGAAACAGCGCGTTTTTATTTCTGTTCTTCATCTCAAAGTCGCAATGAAGCCTTCAACATAGAGCATAAACTTTCACCTCACTGTAGTATCAAGATGGCAATGCCCTTAAAATGCAAAGACTAAAGTCAAAATCCTATTACTGTTTTTTTTTAAATATTAAATAACATATGAATTAAGTGTGTCAAACGGTATTATTAAACGTGGTTTAATGGATCTTTTGTCTATATTGTATAGGTCATATCATGTATTAACATTTGCATGAAGTAGAATCTGCGTAGAATGCTTTTTCACAAGAACTTAATATAATAGTTTGACATAAGGTGGCAGAAAGTTCACATCATCTTACCGTTGCTAGTCCAAGCAGGACACGAAGAACGTAAACCAAGATAACAGATACTCTCGCACACACAGGCATCACAAGTGTACACACGCATGCTACTGCCATGGCGGTACCAAATACACGTCGTCCACCAAATCTGTCTGACAAATAGCCACCAGGAATTTGAGTAACAATATACCCATAGAAAAAAGACGCCAGTAGTGTTGACTGGATTTGTTTTTCCCATTCAAATTCAGCATGCTGTAATGGTCAATAAAAGTATGAATCCATTATGCATGTGTGAAAAAAAAATGTCAAAGTAAGCATATAATAAAGATTTTTAAAAATAGGGATGTTTCAAGTCTGATCAGTATCTATAAATTATTATACCTTATCGAACCCTTCTCCTTAACATAAAATTGGTCGTCACTTTTGAACAAATTGTCATTACATTATGTTGAAACATAAAAGAGACATTGATTTTATCAATTCTTTGTAAATAACACAAAAAAAGATGGTCATTGTCATGAAATATTTGCCACTGAACGTTTTGCATGATTTAATGAATCAACCAATCAGCATGTTTAAGGGTATATCGTTCGTTTAATTGAAATCTTGCATGAATTGAACTGTTGTAGGACTTTCTAATTTGATTTCAAAATAATTAAAATATTGACATAGCAATACAAATACACAGTCATGAATTTGAAAGATAGTTGCATGAAAGTATCACAGAAAACTCTCACGTGCATTGTACTGAATTTATCACAATGTAAACAATAATTTAGTTTCATATCCATGTTTTCAGTTGTATTGTGTCTTACTTCTTGATTGACATGATGTTAGAGGGTGTGGATGGTAGTTAATAAAATAGAAAATAATGGGCAAAAATATAGAGAATAGAGAAAAATGGACCAAAAAAAATAAAGAATATAGAATAATGAGGTGCTAAAATATAAAGAATAGGGAATAATGGGCAAAAAGTATAAAGAACAGAGAAAAATGACCTAAAAAAATAAAGAATACAGAAATGAAGGACCCCTATCGAGACCCTCATGTTAATGAGTAATTTTTCTCGATTCCATATTCTATTGATATTGATTGATTGCTGTGCATGAAGTCCTTTGGCCAATATCTCACGATAGTTAGGTCGAGAACACAAACAAAAAATACTTTAGATAAGATCTGCAACAGGGTTGATTAAGATGAATTGTGGGAGATTTAGGCTGCTACATAAAAAGAGCGTATGTTTGATAGAGACGGACATTTTGTCTTCCAACATGCCACACATGGAAGTGTTCCTTAACATGCAGAGAGCATAGCCTTTTCCTACTCGAGGTCTTAATACGTGGCTGTGTATTTATACATCTCGCAAGCCAAACGGACATCCAATTAATAAATGAAGTGGGATCACCTCAGGCAATAATCATTTGAAAGCCTCTCGATACTATTATTTCTCTTCCATCCTTATATTTCAACATTTTTTGGGGTTAAATTTGCATACCTGAGTTAATGATTTTATTTCGTTGAATGTTGATAGCTTAACTTAAATTGGCGAATTAGGACAAGAACAAATTACATATTGAAGGTCGACCCATAAAAAGGGTGTGAAATGTGGACTGGCATTTGAAAAATGGGTATGTTAGATCGGAGCCGATATTTGCCATGCAGCAGGCCACCCGAGGACCCATCTTAGTGTTGCTTCGAGGGTCCTTTAAAGTGTAGAGAGCAAAGGACTCTCTCTACTCGAGGCATCGGATTTAACGTCCTTCACAGTGATCTGACATGGCTGCGTGCTTATGCATCATGCACAACTAAGCGGACGCCCCACTTTAGAAGGAATTTTACGGCCGGCCGGAAGTAAGTCCAAGCATGACCATTTTTTAGAACCAAGTCAACCCGAAGGGTCCGTACCTGATACAAATTCGACAAGTATTAGCGTGTCTTGCAAGCGAAACTGACATTGGAAAATACTAAAATGGTAAAAGTTCGAGATATTTTTTGAGCAAAAAGCGGAGGCTGGCTTTAAGGGCTTTGAATTACCTTATGTAAACGTGATAAATTTTCCTCTTAGATTTCATTTGTTGATGTGAGAAGATGAGTTTTAAAAACGAATAGAATAGTCTAGATGTCCTTTTTCCATCTTTCTGACGTTAGTATTGTATGTTTATGGTTAAAGGGGTTCATACCTTCAAAGCAAGTTATTTATTACCACTATTATTGATTACCTGATTAAAAATTTCTCTCTCTGCAGCTTTGCCAGAACATGTAGACGAAGTGCCATTGATATCACTGATGTTGTTCGATGATGAAGAATTCAAAGACTTTACCATACAAACTATAGCAACACTAAAGTTCACGCGTAATGCATAGACAAATACAAAACCAAAGAATCCGGTATACGCTAAGATCCAACGCTGTGAACAGCAACACGGTACTGTAACATCTTTAAAAATAAGCAAGACATGATAGTGTAGACATTCAAGAAATACTTTCTAAATCCAAACTTACTTTATTTACAATCAAACGGTGATTACTTAAACTCAATTGTTTTAACACTGTTGTTTTTAGCACATACTTATTTTGATATTTGATATTTATTTTTGTTTGTGAACGCTTTGATTTTATCTCATGTATGATTTCGATATACTATTCATTTCTACTCTTTGAAAAAATGTTCCTCTTTTTATTTACAAAACGGTGTCAGAATTAGTTTTTGTACTTCAAACGTTAACGTGTCTCGGACAGCTCTAATTGAAACTCAGTTTTAAAATGTTAGAATAGGTAACAGAAGAAACTAAGCAAAATGACAATGATCAATATTAATTGGCAAAGGACTACTAGCAGTGACTGACATGCCAGCTCCAGACCTCAAACAAACTGATTGAAAGGGTTTAGTATCATACCATCATAAAATATACGAGAAGAACATAACCCGTAGCATGCCAACAACTGGTTTTAGAATAAATGTGTTTATTTTCGAGGCAAAGACCAAATGAGTGAATAAATATTAAATCCAAAAAAATCCATCTTTAATGACTTTATAACGGTATCGTAACCATATCCCTTCTGAATAAGTCTGTTTAAAGGTTTGATTACCTTTGAAGGAGAATGACGACATTTTTGTTCTTTGTATAGAATATTACCATAAAAGATGGGATGTGAAATACCTGAACGTATAAGCTGATGATTTATATTTACGAATGATGTCTCTGTACCGATGATAAAATTTAGTAAATGTTTTGACAAGTTTGTGATATCGAAAACCCTGGTGTAATAATTTTTCAGTAATACAGAGATTTCTGTCATTAAAATAAAATTCTTTTGTTACATACACGAGCGAATCGAACACATTGAGATATATAAACACCATAAGATGTTGACAAGGGAACGTCACCTTCTAAAAATTGATAATTAACAATAGGAAATGAAAATAATCATCTCTTTTATCGTAAATTTTGGTATTAAGCTTCCCGTTAAAGATATAGATATCAAGATTCAGGAAAGGGCAGTATTCATTGTTAGTATAAGCTTTATTCATAGTCAGTTCAGTAGGATAAATCTCTTTAGTGTACATATTGAAATCGTCATTATTGAGAACCAATATATCATCCAAATATCTAAAAGTGTTATTATATTTTTGTATCACACGTTGTTTCGTTGGGTATCTGCTGATTTTAGTCATAAATTGTAACTCGTAACAAAACAGAAACAGGCCCACAATAAGTGGTGCACAGTTATTCCCCATTGGAATTCCGATAACTTGACGATATACGGAATGTCCATAGCCAACAGAAATGATATCTAATAAAACACTATAGCATGTTCCAAAAATAAACAAAAACCAACATCCACTTGCCAACATCAATAGACACTACTACACGATATGGATTAATGCAATGTTGCTGATAGCTCTATGAGAGGCCTGATGGGTTATTTTCGTTCTTCGTGATCGGTGCATTTTCGCTATCGTGATCCGTTTTTCTACAGATTTTTTTTTTTATATTTTCGTGATCCGTGATCATGGACATTTATTTTCTGTGAATCGTGATTGACAAAAAAATCAACTCGTGAATCGTGATGAGACCCCCCCCCCCGCCTATCAGGCCCCTCCTCTATATTAAGAAACATACTTTTAAGACAGTATTTGTTACGTTGATATAGTTTACAAAACCTCCTACTTTTAATATGGTGTGCACGTTATGGACACCCAGATATCTTTTAAAAGAATCCCATTAAATGCAAAAGAAGGACGACTGCTTTATTGATGCAAGAATATGCGTTTTTTGCAGCGATAAATCGTAAGCAATTATACAAAAGAGAATTACGGTGTTCTATGAGGGTCTGGATGCGGATTTTTTCATGTGTTTTTTTTTAATTTTTTATACAATTTTTTTATTATTCTTAATCCTTTTTGCCCACTTTTCTCTATTCTTTATACACGTATTTCAACATCCCATTTTTCTGTATTCTTCTTCTTCTATAAAAGGCTATATTTCTCTATTTTTGAAAGTTTTGGTCCTTTATTTTGTACTTTTTAACCATTATTCTCTATACTGTATTCCAAAACAAGACCCCCGTCTATGTTGTATTTAACCAGACGATATAGTATCTTTAAAAATACTTATATTACTTTTTGTCATAGTATTAAACAGTTTACGAGACTGCACATATTGTTATGTGCAATGTTGTCAAGAAAATCGACTAAACGGCTTTTGATTAACATGTATAAAATTACGTAAAACTAATTAGTTTTTACCTTTTTCATTATCCTCTTTTTCAACCTGTTTCCCCATTTTGATGGTAAACAAATATACTATTAGACTGATAACATTGAATGATTTAGGAGTACACTGTCCTAGGATCATATCTGACGAGACTAGAAACGGAGGAATTGTAAATATATAGATGTGATATAATTATCGTTACCTGTATTATTTTTCGAACTGACAAATACATGTCTTATATAATAGAATAGAGAACGGAAACGGGGAATGTGACCAAAGAGCAAAAAAACAGTCCAAGGCCAACAATGGGCCCGGAGGCGGGCTTCAGCTGGCACCTTTACAATAATGTCTACTAGTTCAGCAAAGTGGGTTTGTGTACGATGGAATTACTTTCCGTATCGATAGAACACTTAAGTCAGGGAATATTTCATAGAGATGCATCATAAATAATTGCTAAGGTATTTCACCGGATTTTCATTTTCCTCCAAGTCTTTGGGCAGAATCCAAGCGTACTTAGTGTATATTTGAGCATATTATGATGTGTAAAATTAGTACTTTTAATCTTTAGATTTACTATTTTCTGCATTTTTATCTGTATATTGTTCCAGGACTAAGTGCGAGTGCGTAATAAAACGGACTTATCCTGCTCGAAAATAATAGCTGAATAAATAAATAAGTATAATCTACCTTATTTACCCGAGTTTACCTCTAAAAGAATGCGCGCAAATGTAATCAAATGCAGTGCGCAAACGTAATGATTTTTGCGCGCGCAAATGTAATGGTAATGCGCGCAAGTGTAACGCACCGGTTTCTCGGTAAACGATAGAGAAAACGAAACTTTTATGGATGGAACAATTAAATTTTGACCAAAATTCTTCAATTAGCTTCCTTATTAGTGGATTAAAATTGGAAACTATATTCCTCTTGTGGTTATTCTGTTGCATGGAAAGTCCGAGGAACTGTACCATCATAGTTTATCTAAGATTGTTTCAATTTGTGAAGACCAAAATTTTATTTTTAAACCACCTGCTGTACCTGTTGAATTTTAGAAAGAGTTATTGTGTGTTATAAGGAATTTACTCCCATCAACTCTCTTGGAGTGTTGTAGTTTTATCTGACACAAGCATGATGAGAAAAGATTGATGTATATAAATGTATGAATGTTTTGTGTCTTTTTGTATTAAATGATTTTTTATGTTATGTTGAAAAAGCGCAAATGTCTTTTTTTTAAAAAGTGCAAATGTCCTAAACATTAAAGCCCAAATGTCTATTTAAAAAGTGCAAATGTCCTGTCAAAAAGCGCAAACGTCCCGCGACGGACCAAACTTAATTATCAGAAAACAATATTTCTTTTACCAATTGATATACCTGCAACTAGCGAAAGCGTGTATTTATATTAATAAGAATGAACATTAATGCTTTCATTTTATTTTTTTTTAATCAACACTTTTCCTTCAAAGTTATTAAAATAACTAAAAACGTGTCTAGATAAGTAGATCTCCAAGATAAAAGGACATTCAGGAGAATAAATTTTTGAAAAAGTAAAGGTATATATGAATGTTTAATGCATTCGCCCTGGAAATATATGGATGTGTACGGTTTTTTTTTTTTTTTTTTTTTGTGTAAGGGATGTTACCTTCAGTTATAGAGAGTATCGTTCATGCGTACATCGTATGACAAAATTGGTTAATCTATTGTTTATTTCGTGGCTGCGCTGACATACACTAAAAAGGTACCAAGATAACGTTATCTATAATCGATTGTTTGATCAGTCTGTTCACAATAGTTATACGTCATTGTACCAACTTAGTGGGGAAATTACCAATCAACGTACCTCGAGATCGATTGTGCATGATGCCCAGCTTTAACTGTAATTTAGCCGATTAGGTTCTATTCTCAATCTATAATTTGTATAAGAAATCAAAACTTATAAAGGACGGAAAATAGGACTGATATTGCTATAAGGCACCTACATATGTAGATACCGTAATCAGATCCAATGGCATTGAACGATTATAGCCCTATTCACCAACAAAACCGGATTGAGTCATGCAAATCCAATATTTGCTATACCAATTAAAAATATAAATTACCATATAATTAAATAATGAGTTGAACGTTTTCGTACCATCAGATCTTTCACGATCCTGTTCACGATCTTCAAAAAGCGGTATACGATCTTTCACGATCCAAAAAATCTATGTTTTGTAAATATTTCCATTTTTTGCATAATTTCTGATTATGCTAACACAAAATAACTGTAAGAACCATTTGAATTATTAAAATGGAATGATATTTTTCAAAGGAAAGTTGTTTAGTCATTCGAATTATGAAAAAAAATCTTGTTTGTTTACATATTTAATGTGATTGAAATGTCGAGGAGCAATCTGCCTTTTGTAGTTTGAAAGAACGGTTTACTTTTAAACCTTAATTTTTCTCAGATACTGATCATTATGTTGAACCATTTTGACAGACAGTTTTATTTTTTTATAAATTTGTCCGTATAATTCATTATATTAGATTAGTAATTGACCTTGTATATGTCTTCTCGATAAGATTGAATTCACGATCCTATACCAGAGCTTTCACGATCCAATCGTAATACTTTCACGATTTATTTCTCGATAAACCGAATGACACCCGTGGACACAGGCACTTGTCCCTGAAAAACAATTACCTATTTACTTTATTAAAGTTTATACATTTTTTAGGTATTTTTTTCAGAGAAAAGTGACTGCGGTACATCGTGTAACAGAAGAAACAAAACAAATTATAATGTCTACCTTTTTCGTTGTAAGAGTTATCTACCGTATCACTGTTTTTTTCTGTGTTTTCTACTCTTTTGCAATCGTAGACGATGTCAATTTAATTTTTTCCCCAAATGCTCGTTACAAGATGTAGTGAATCATTGTGACCAAAACGATCCGGATAAGAATGATTTCCCTTAATGTATTCAACAAAGTGAAATGAAATTGTTACACGTAAACCGTAAGTGATAGAGACCTAGAGTCTTTTGATTAGAAGAACTTGGTCCAACAAAAAAGAAAATGAGATCATGGTTACAGGACAAAGTTATGTTCTAATTTTTTTACTTTGCTTGTCATTGCTACGATTCAGAAACTGTAAAAGATATCTAGAAAAGAGTTTTTACTAAACTAATTATTAAATGCTACATGTCGTACTGAAAATTTTGTTCGAATGTTGTCTCCCCTAGAATAAAATTCACTGTATTTTGATAAAACTCATCAACCCTACATAGTAAAGACCTAGGGTCTTTTGAGTTGATGTTGCTACCTTGATATCTTGACATTTAGGACAGGAAAATTTGACGTACAAGACTTTGACCTCTACTATAACCTCATATTGACACAAAATATGATAAAGCAATTAAGTAAAGACTTTTGCATTAAGTAAAGAGACATAGAAACTTAAAAACATCAACTGGAAGTGACTGTGTGAAAACCGACAGTAACCGTTTTATCTCACTTATTAAATTTCATGCAAAAGTATTCAGAACCATATATATTTTTGGAATCAGCGAGAAATAATATGAAACCGTAAATGACATGTTAAAACCGGAATAAATAAATTTCTATATCTAATAAAAAGAAGATAGAAACCGTTTATTTTTGGAATCAGTGTAAAGTAAGCTATTTTTACCATAAGGTATGGACAAATATCCAGCTGTATACCATGTTTACAACTCACATTGCAATAACTGCCAAAACGAAGAAGCCAATTCGCCGTTTCAGAATATAATGCATTCTGGGTAATATTTTCATAAGCATACACCAAAACGTTGTGATTGGTTAAAAACGTTCTAAACAATGGAAATTGAACCAATGACGTAACGATATTTTCATTTTGGTGTAAGAACAATGAGACTACCCATAGTGCTTTAGATTCTGAAAAGGCGTATTGAATAACCTTATAATTTTATGAAATTATTGTCTCATGTGCAATGTTTATACTGCAGCTGAAAGTTCTAGCTGTATTGAATTTAGTAATAAATCTATCTATTACATTGGTTGCAACGAATTACCATGATTTCCTGGTGAAATAAAAACCGACAATTTCACACATGAAATAAATTTGATAATTTCACTCTTATGACATTATACACCAACGGGTGTTGTCGATAACGATGCATCAATATAATTGAGAATTCATAATACAAGATATACAGTGTATAGTTTCTTTCATTCGTTTCTTTGTCTCAATTTAAAACCTCATGGTCAATGTAATTAAAAGCACAACTAATCCAAGAATTAAAATAAATATCGAAAAATATTCCAGGCATGACCGAATAACACTGATGATTAAATCATGCGCTACGTTCATTCGTGAATTAATGTTCTGATCGGTCAATCTTTTGATATTTTTCTATATAAAACACTTGGATTAATTATTTTAAAAACAAAGTTTTTGTGCAATGACAATTCCTTGCCAATCTTGTTCTTCACACTAAGGGACTCATTCAGGGGAGGGGGAATATTTTATATTTGAATTAATACTTTGATGGCTATCATTATAGCCTTATATAGCTGAAGTATAAACATGACGACTAATCACAACATTTCAAGGCTTATGTATGGAGGAATCTTTTCTGAAATTGGCCTTTTGCATATTCACCAAGTATAACCTGAAAGAAACAAATGTTATCGAGAGTTTTTTTTTATTAAAAAAATAGAATAAATCAAACGAGAAAACTAACGACCGGATTTATATATAAAACACTGAATGAAAAACAAATGTGATTTACACATCAATCAACGAACAGGTTCCTGACTGTGAACATGAACACACAGAATGTGACGGAGCTAAACAAGTTTGCGAGGAGCGCCCAAAACGTCTTCTCTCTAGTCTGGGATAGTGGTGTAACTGTACAACATAAGAACAAACTATAAAAAGAAGTTGAAAAATGATGAAATGACATAACACACAAACAAATAAACCAACAAAAAGACTAAAGACACACAGAACAGATCTTAGAGTCCGCCGTCATCGTCGTAAACTTTCTACTCCTTTGAAATTACCGGCCAAAATATTTATTTACCTGAATGATCCTA